CAAGACCGAGTTTGTTGGTATTGGCGTGGGCAGCGCTTCCAATGCACTGTGACGATCGCCAAGCGCGGAAGGTCGAAGTCCGTCGAAAAAGACTCCGTTGGCGCTGCTGGCCAGCCCCTGAGCCACGGCGAGGCAAGATCGACGATCAACTAGTCCGCGTACGGCGGAGAGCTGACGATTCGCTGAAAATGAGAGAGAGAAAAGCGGCGCGCGGCGAAGGAAAGGAGTCGCGATCCTGGGATCGTGAAAATGGGAGCGCAGGCTGGCCTACGCGCCGGCCGGTAGCCGCCAGTTGAGAGCCGCTGGACGACTGAAGCCGAGCGAGCGCGGCATGAGAATTTTCCCACAGTCCCTACTACCAGCAGGCGCTCACAGCGTAGCACACCGGGACTACGGGACGCACACCCGCTCTCTCTCTCTCTCTCTCTCTCTCTCTCACTCGCGCGCGCGCGCGGCGTTGCCACACCTCTCGTATATACTTCTCTCTCTCCGCGCGAGAGCGCAGCCGTATGGCGCGCGGAGTCTGTGTGCATGCAGCCTCTGTATACGTACATTTATGCGCGCGGAGAAAGAGATCGCCAGGATTTTCGCTTTACCTATTCGTGAGCCACGAGCACTGATGAGGATTATTAATTTGGAGAGGCCGGTGGACAGCTGGTTGCTGCTTACCTGCGCAGCACCAGCTGATCCTCGATGACAGTCGAGCATTTCTCGAAAGAAAGAAAGAGGCCCGAAAGGAGAGGGATGCGATCGCGTGTCCGAGGCGCGTATGGGCTGCGTCGTTTCTATGTTTACGTTGGCTTGTCTCTCTCTCTCTCTCTCTCCCCCGCTCTCGCTCCGGATGATTCGCCCGCGCTGACCGGCCCAGCGACGTCGATTGCGATTGATGCACTTGACACCAGTAGCTCCCTGACATATGTACTCGCCCAGATTTTCGTGCAATGTTTCTCATGAAATTACACACATTAGCGCACTTCCTGAGAGAAAAAGAAGAAAAAAAGTTTCTCACGCGGAATACTCGCGAAAGTGGTGCGCGCACGTGCGTGGCTTAACGAAGCAATCGGTTTTTTGGATTACCATCATTTGTCGTCCGGAAGGAAGACAGAGGTCTCCTTCACCTGCGCAGATGACTTTTTGGAAAGTTTCTCGAGAGAACGAAAGAGAGATGAGGAAAAAGCAGCTGACAAGGAATGTTAGAATTAGGAAGGGAGAGAGAAAAAGTTTTGAGAATCCGGTTGAAATATTTGGACAGGTCTAGGACCGGGTTAGGGTTCGCTGGCTTTTAGGACTCGAACCAAGTGCCTCGGATAACATTTTCGGGGCACTCGTTGCCTCTGCCGTATCAACGTTGTCGTTTCCGTCTCGACCGACACTGCAGTTTGATCGCTTGGCTCCTCTCTGCTCGTACGAACAAGAAAAATAAGGATTCTTCAGATTTTACGTGCCCTTCGATTTGCCAATCTCTTCGGCCCGATGAAATTGACGATTCGTCGAAAAAGAAAAAAAGCAGACGCGTCGAATGCCAACAAATTGCGAGCTCCGCTCGATTACATTTGTTTTTTTCGTGCGAAATGTAAATCAAATCGTTCGAGACTCATTAAGCGCCATAATTTTAGCCTTATTAAGAACGACTCGATGAAAGACCCTTTCGAATCGGCAATTACGAAGGAATCGGCCGGAACAAAAAACAAGTACAGTGATTTATTCGTCGACATCTCCTCCCCCAGCCACATGCTTCACTTCGTTAACAACCCTTTCTTATTATCACGCGACGCGGAAGACGGATTTTCACGCTCGTGCTCGCAACCAAAAATCACCACCAATGGAAAAAGCCGCGCGCGTTTCCTCGGTGGAGGGGCGCAACGAAAAAGAGAAAAAAAATGAAACGAAGCATCATGGGAAATAACACAAGTGCGTGGGTGAGCACGTGCGCTTTTTTCTCGAGGGGCTTTCTATACTTGTACTAGAGAAAGAGAGACGATCTCTATTGTTGCTGCCGCTGCGTCTACCTGCGATCTCCCGAAAACGAAAGGTGTGCACTAGAACGTTTGGCCGCCGCGCTGTATGCGCAACGGATCGCTCGAGCGGTCAGTTTGACCCTCTGGAGACTTTGGAACATTTTTCTCTCCCAGCATGGTCATGCCAATTTTCTCCAGGGCCGCATCGACTGTATTGCATCGCGATTGTCAAAGTCAAAGACCGCGCGATTCGCACTCTTGGCGACGCCTTTGTAACTTCGGCGTCCCACCGTCCAGATTTCCGTGAGCAGGAGAGCAACGAGAAAGAAGAGAAAAATGGCGTCTCTCGCGTGTGGGTTACGTGTATCGGAAAGATCCCACGAAATCCCAAGGAGAGGAGAGCCTTCTCCTTTCTTCTTGGTCTCCTTCTCTTCCTGTCTCTCGAGAACTCGTGCGCATTGATGTCTTCCTCGCGCGAACCACGCACACTCCGAAATCGCTGCTTCGGCGCCTTCCCTCCGTCGTGGGCCCGCGTCGCGAAACCGGAGACGTGGGAATGGCTGTCTGCGACTGCATCCCCGTGAAAAGCCGAAGGAGTTTACGCGCGTGGCTAGAAAAAAGGAAAAGAAAAAAAAAACAGCGCGAGCGTAAAAAGGGCCAGTTTCGTCGGACGTTATCTCGAGAATCCCAAAGTCATCGATCTTAATTCCCAGTCTCTCATTACCTCGCTGCCCCGCGGCAGACTAACAAAAGCGTGCATTTCTTGCCCCGCTGGCACCGAGGCGTTTGCTTTTATCAACGTCATTCGCGGCTAATCGATTCGAGGCAAAGGAAAGCTCGGTTCGCGCTGCCGAGGAAGGTGCCGCGGCTTTATTTGCGCGCAAAACGACGCGAGACCAATCGCCAGGGCAAATATCCTTTTGTTGGGACGCCGCGCCGCCGCCGCCGCCGCCGCCGCCGCGCGATTCGCCTCACCGGCAGATGACACTTTTTGCTCGCTCGGTAATTGCCTCTACGGATCACGCAAGCCTCCGGCCGTTTCGAAAGCGACAGACGCGCAGCTCGATCGCAGTTTTCCGGGCGAATTACGGAGCGTCGCGAAAGTGGCCCTCGAGGAGACGTGGAAGGGACCGATGCGTCGGCGTCTCCCGCGCTCCTCTCTCTCGGACACGCACGGGCAGCGCGACACACCAGCTGATGTTATTGTTCGTAGCGCAAGGCGGGAAGGCTCCGATCGAGTCACCACCGAAAATACTTCCTTCTCCCGAAAGCTCGACGGGGAAGCAATTGACGATTTCCCAACCGCACCTGCCGCAAGTCACAAGCGCGATGATTTTCCACGGAGCTAGCTGCTATCGGGATGTAAACTCGATCGCGTGAGAAAGCACTCTTTTTATGCGGCCACAAGAGAGAGAGAGAGGATCTCTTTTCTTGCTCGCGTCGTATGCTTATAATGCTTCAGTGGACAAGGCTTCTCTATTACCCAGATCTCTCGTGTCTGTTTACAACTTTTCTGGCGCGATTCGCATTCCTCGCCTCGTGCGTCTTCCATCGATCGCCCGAGATTTCGCCGGCGCATCCTCCTTTGCGACCACCGACTCGACGATCGATGACGGCTGTCCCCCGAAAACATGCGGAAGTCCGCCTTCGAAGTGTGCTCGTTGATTGGAAATGGGAGAGTGCGGCGTTGTCACACGCTGATAAATCCAGTAGCACATTCTCGACGACCTTATTATTAGGTACGAAAATATCGTAATTTCATGTTTCCTCGCGCACACGGCCGAGATGAGAGAAGCGGAAACGATCTCTGTTCCCACGTACATTGCTCTTATCAAATCGACGCTTTTCGCTCTTTTTTTCTGTTTTGCGGTTGGAACTATCGCAGCCTCCCGTGCGGGCGCGCTCCAATTTTCAAACTCGAGAGCGATTTTGATTGCGTCCCTCTCTTATCTAACAGAGAAAACCGCAATCTTCAGATAGAATATTGTAAAGCTCCCGGGGATCGGAAGTCGTTGTCGTCGGCGCGAAATCGTTATTCGCTCGTCTGCTTAATTATCGCGCGCAGCGGGCTTTATTAATTGGGGCGTCGTCGAGGACTAAATTATCAACACCAGGCATTTACGGCCAATTAAAAATCGATCTCGGTACTCGACCCTTTGCAAATGCCAAGCGCCGCCGCGACATCCTCGTCGGCCTGTCGCGCAGAAGCCCCGCGAACGGGGAAAAGACGCGCGTGCTCTAGCCGACTGCAGTCTTTCGCGCTCTCGTCGTCTCGTTGCCGAAAGAGAGAAAAACATCAGACCGCAATAATGTCAAAAGCAACGTTCGTTACGCTTTTTGAAAGCGTTCCATTCTTTTTTTTTCTTTTATCTTGCGGTTTCCTCTTTCCGCGTCTCGTCCGCGCAGGAAAAATCGAGCGAGAGAGCGTCGCCGATCGGTTTGGTCCCGCCTTCGTTGGCGATCTGTGGCAGCCTTCGACGCTTTGGTGACGTCGGCAAAGTGTTTGTTTTTTCCTCTTCGGGAGATTGCCTCGACGGACGGGCAAAACCAATATTTGCCAGCGCCAAAGAAACTACAGGACTTGGAAGGCTTGCAGGGTGGCGGATAATTGAAAATGCGTTTTTTCCGAATATTAATTTGGCGCGAGGCTTCTCACGCCCAAATAGAAAGAGGTGGTGGAGCAAGCTATCGGATCGAAAATTATTACTTCATTAGAAGTAAACGAAAGATCCGATGCATAACGTGGGCGCGGAAACCGCAGAAAGCTCTTTTGCTCTCGCCTCCCTCAACGGTCGTGTAATGGCTTTCGTCTGTCTCGGAGGCGAATCGTTTATTGGGCTGCGGTCCATTTCGTCACGCTTAATTTGGTCCCTCGTCGAAGATTGAAGTTCGCGGTTGAGAATAATAGCTTGATTAGCAATTACCAATCGCGGCACGGCGCAGCGCCGATCGAGCGACGAACCGTAGCCGGCGTTCGCGCTGGACCGGCCGACTGACCGTCACGAGCTCATGCCCCCCCTCTCTCTCTCTCTCTGTCAACAGGATTCGAAGGTGACCAGTGCGAGGTGAACGTCGACGACTGCGTGGGCAACCTGTGCCAGAACGGCGCTACCTGCGTGGACCGGGTGAACGAGTACTCGTGCCAGTGTCCGGCGGCGTTCACGGGGCCGCAGTGCGAGCACGACGTCGACGAGTGCTCGGTGCGGCCGTCGCCGTGTCACAACGGTGCCACCTGCACGAACAGCCACGGCAGCTACTCGTGCATCTGCGTGAACGGATGGACCGGGCCCGACTGCAGCCAGAACATCGACGACTGCGCCGGGGCTGCCTGCTTCAACGGCGCCACCTGCATCGACAGGGTGGGCAGCTTCTTCTGCCAGTGCACCCACGGCAAGACCGGTGAGTTCGCGGTGCAGCCGGAGAAGGCTGCTGCCTGCCGGTGCTCAAGGTCAAATCTTGGCTCGCTCGCCGCAGCTGCGTTTGCGCGCGCGTAGCCTCGGGGACCGCGCGCACACGTGCGCTCCCAAGTCCGTAATCGCCGGCGCGGATCGCGCGCGCCAACAGCATCGAATACGGCACCGGCGCGTTTTGTCTTTGATGCGCTCGCGATGCTAATGGGGCCAGCTAGCCAACGGATATATATTCCGACTGCTGCCGATAACCCATTATTTATTTAACTCGTTTCTTCTCTCCGCTGCTAACGGAGACTTTCTCTTCTCGAGGTCGAACGGGTGTACTACTCGCATTTCATTGTTTGTTTTCTCGCTTTATTCGGTCGATTCGCCTCTTATCGCTCAGGGCGATGCAACCCTTGGCGCGCGCGCGTTGACCGGCCGTTTCTCGAAACTGATATTCTTGCGCAAATCGGAAAGATCGTTCGAACGCAGAGCAGAAGTAGGATAAAGCCTTTCGCACGGCCTCTGAGCATTCCGTGGCAGTAGCGGCGACAACAAAAACGGCAAAATAAGAGGAAAAAAAAAGTCGCTCCAAAGATGGAGATCATTAAAAGCGCGCCACGCACTTTCGATTCCTTGATTTTCCTAAAAATATCGCGACTTGCCTGATGCTCGCAGGTTTGCTTTGTCACCTGGACGACGCGTGCACGTCGAATCCATGCCACCAGGATGCCGTCTGCGACACAAGTCCAATCAATGGTTCCTTCACCTGCTCTTGTACCAGTGGATATCGCGGTATCGACTGTTCCGAGGACATCGACGAGTGCAAACAAGGTAAGCTTCTGCCGAGTGGTATCGCCGCGATCAAGTCGCATCTCTTGCCCGTCCAGTTATTAACAATTGCACGGGTGAACGGACGCGCACGCATGCAAATCATCGTTCGTTGGAAAAGCCGTGTCGCGGCCTATCGGCGCGCGTCGATTTACAAACCGGTAGCTCGCTTGTCCTTGCGATGACAGATGTCATTCGAAAGCGGAGATTTACGGTCCGCGCGGCGAACGACCCTTTCTCTCTCTTCGCAAAATGCCCACGATGATTTAAACAAACAAGACGAACAAGACGAACAAGACGAGCAAGAGGAAGAATTATCGGCGGCTACCTGCGCAAGGCAGACAAAGATTTTCAGGTGAGGGGGGAGGGGGAGAGTAAGCCGATAGCCCCACGCGCGTGCAGCTCCTCTATACCTGCTGGCGGCGCGCTCGGCTTACACATGCGGGAACGGATTTCGAGCTGAGTGCTGGTTTTGTGAGGCCCCGAAGAGAGTAGGTGGAGGGAGCAGCAGACTCGCCGGAATTGATTTTGAGGAATTTTTCGGGGGAGCCCTTCTCGCCCGACGACGACACATTAAATTATACGAGGTTTTTTAAAAGGTTTCTTGTATCTCTGGGCTCGTCGGCGATTAGCGAGCGCTCGAGCGGAGATTTCGGAAAATCATTGCGAGCCTCAAGGCTGCGACGCTGCTCCTGTTTTCGCGAGCTACGATTCGGGGGCGATTGTCTCCGCTCTGGAAAAAAAATGATCACTCGACGTGTATCTCGCGATCGTTGATTGCCGGAGTGGTGAAAGTTGTTGGCACTGCACGTGGGAAACACACGAAACCTTTAGCTTCTTTCTCGTTGTTCCGCAGGTTCGCCGTGCGAGCACGATGGCATTTGCGTCAACACGCCCGGCTCGTTCGCTTGCAACTGCACTCAGGGCTTCACTGGGCCGAGGTGCGAGACCAACATCAACGAATGCGAATCCCATCCGTGCAAGAACGACGGCTCCTGCTTGGACGATCCCGGCACCTTTAGATGTGTTTGCATGCCTGGTAAGTACGCAACGAACGTTTCGCTGATAAGTTGACGCACCGTGACGTCAGCGAGCAAGGACTCGTCTGGCGGAAGTCGATGGACAAACGACGAAAATAATCCTGGAAAAGCAAAGAGCCGACGACGAGAACGAGATCTTGCAAGTTCTCCTTGTTTCGCGTGCTTTTCGGCGGTAAATTCTTGCGCGATGACAGCGGCGTCGCCCTTAATTGTTCGACGCCGCCGCGGAAAACGCCCGCGCGCTCGCGAGATCGCCTATCTCGCCTGGCTGCTGCGCCGCTCGCTGAGTGAAAGTCTTTTTGCTGCTCGATTTTTTTCCTTTTCTTTCAGCGATGATCGTTATCGATACCGCCGCGTGTGTTTTATACTGCCGATCGCCGACGAAGATTACCGGGCTGATTCATATTGACGCCGGAGTATAATTGTTTGTTTATAACCGAGGGAAATGCGACAAATCCAGACGCCAACTTTTCACTCTCGCTGGGGAAGGGGGGAGTGAAAAAAAGCGAGAAGAAGTCCCCCGCGGTGAGCGAACTCCGTCGGAATTGCCGTCATCAATTACCGGCATGATTTCACCGCAGCGGCTCAGCCGCCGGAATTTATCGCGTCGCACTCTGTAGCACTGTGCCTCACCCCGTTACGCGACTTTCTAATTCGCGATGTATATTTCGTAATGGCCGCTGTTGGCTGCTGCGCTCTTTCGCTTCGTCGGGAGGTTTCCTTTGTCGACGAGCTTTATTTTCTGTTTGTTTTGCTTTTCTTTTCTTTTTTTTTTTCGTTTTTTTCCTTTTTGCGCGCGATGTTCGACGAAAGAGGATCTCCTCCTTGACTCTCGGAGCGCTTCGGAGAAAGAGGATATTCTTCGTTAGAAGGCCACGAGAGAAGAGAGAGAGAGAGAGAGAGAGAGAGAGAGAGAGAGAGAGAGAGAGAGAGAGAGAGAGAGAGAGAGAGAGAGAGAGAGAGAGAGAGAGAGTCAGTACTCTGACCTCTCGTGCGTTCTTTATTTTTTCTGGTTGCTGATCTTTTTCGAGACTCGTTTTAAGCTACATTTTACGGAGCCGGGAAGGAACTTTTATTCGCGTTTATTTTTTTTCAAACACGTCCGCAAGTAAATTTCACACCTGCGGCTTATGGAGCGCGATCGATAAAAGTGTCGACCGCCCCCATACACGAGCCAACGCAAAGAGGAATATGTCATGCAACGGGACATTTTAATCTGCTACTCGAGGTGCGGATGAAGGAATGGCTCTTGACGTTCGAGAAAGAGAGAGAAAAGCAACAGTCATTCGTGAGTTTTTAAAGCGCGTACTATCTCGGCTGACTTTGACCTCGGCAGACAAAAGTCGGCGAACGGTATATATCATCCCGAACAACGAAGATATCTTCGCACGCGACGTAGCCAAAGGCGCTTCTCGGTGAAATGTCGTTAGCGAGAGATGCATCGCACGGCGAAACGGCCAGCCTTGCATTGTTGTCCTCCACGCAAGGACAATAACCCCATCGTTATTTCGTCATTTTTTCCCTCTGCTCCTCCTTTCTTCGGCTCCGTACCTCTTCCCAGCGAGTACCGAATTTCTCGCGGGCGCACCGAGAGCATTTTCGCGAGCGCGCGGACGGAGAGGGCTGGACGACTCGATACGCGAGCGCGTGGCCGAGGATTAGCCTCTGGAACAAGAAGAAGACGAAGAAGAAGACGATGCCTATCGGCATATATGCGCCCACGCGTGTGCACGTGTGCGAGAGAGCGTTATCGCGGAGGATGATCTTCAGCTCGGCTGGCTTTATCCTCGGCCAGCATCTCCGCTCGTTTGGAGCGCTCTTTCTCTTTTCTTGCTCTCTTCCTTTTCCCTCCCCTTCGTTGCTTTCTGCGCCGAACTGTGTCGCCGCCGCGTCTTTCTTCTCTCGACAGTGGTCGTATCACCGAGCTTTTCCCCGTGACCGCGCGTCAAGAATAACCTGCCTTCGTGACGCGCGGCCAAAGTGCGTTGCGCAATGGCTCGCCTTCGAGTCGCGCGCGCGCGCTCCTCGGCGCCATTTATACGGGGCAACGGAGTTTCCGCTCCAGCGTGCGTGACGCGCCTCCTCTCGGCCACCACCTCTTTCCGCATCTCGCGGCTGCGGCGCGCCCAATCGACGATCTCGCGCGCCCCAGCGCGGAGGATGGTTAACGCGCCACGCGGGCAGGACCTCGCCGCGTTGAGCGCCCGCCGATCGCTCGCTCGCCGATTATTATCTTCGTCTCTCGCTACGCCCGCGTGCTGCGAGTCGACGTCGTTGGACGCGCGATGATGGTCAATTTTTAAACCCGTTCACCGCTGCCGAAAAAGCGAAAGCTCGTTAGCGCGCGCAGTTTATTCCTCCGTTAATTACCTCACCCGAGAGAAGGAGAGAGAGAGAGAGAGAGGTATCCTCTGTAGAGCTTTGCCCGTCGCGATTGATTCATTTTCTTCGTGGGGGGAAGGCGTAGAAATTGTTCAAAATCAATCATTTAACGAGGAGTCAGCGCAATTGCGATGCGCGGGATGTGCGTCACCATATATATTGCTCTCAAGTGATTGATGCCCCACCTCCTTCTCGAACTCAATTTCACCACGCGTCGGCTTTTTTTTAATTACTTCCGGATCGATAACGATACATCGCGCGATCTCTTTTTTTTTTATCATTAGCTACTTAACTTTGACGATGCCTCGGCTTCCGGTTGTTTAGAGACATCGTGTTGCGTGCTTCGCAGAAAAATGACGGCGTCTTTGTCCGAGGCCGCAGGTGGTCGCTTATTAATCGCTGTCCCCGGAAATCTCGATGGTATTTCTTTCTGTCCGATTATTAATTTTCGGCAGTGCCTTTGTGCGGCCGCTTTCGTAGATTCTTACCCGAGTCGGGCGAGTATGAATTTGTTATACGTCACCGTATCGCTCGACGATTGTGGACAAAGGCTGTAAGCTCGATATTTATCGGATGGGCCGAACGTAAGGCGAAAAGAATTTTCGCTTGTGTCGCGCTTATTTATTTGACAAGCGAGCGAAGGGACAAACACGTGTTTTAGCGCAGCTTCTTCGCAGGGCGCTTGTAAGGTTCCTCGGGTTTGTCCACGTGGCCGGTAAATCGACGTGGCCGTGCGAATGCTATTAAAAGCAGCGAAGCTGTCACGATGAAAACCAGAATCAATCTGCAGCAGGGCATTGCGGCAGCGAGTAATCGCGACTAAAGCGAAGACGCGCATCTCGATAAATTTTAAACGCGTTAATGAGGCCGGAAAGTCTATTGGATCGAAAGCGGGTCATTTGTAATATCGCTCGCACTCGATACAAGTGCAATTAAATTTCGCTGCATTTTTCTCGTTAATCCATCGGTAGTAATGAAGACGATTTGTCGTGTTCAGCGAGATAACGAGTCTAGTCGGCAATGGTAATGCGCTCTGGGCACAGCTAATTGGGTAACGGTCGGATGAGCACTCTGAATCGAAGCGGAGCTGAGTAGTAGGTGGGAGAACATCGTCCGTACAAGAAAAGACCTAATGTCACAGATTTACTCGCAGTCAATTGAGATATTTCACGCACGGAGTATCTTTTATAACCAAACACTTTTAGCCGGTGCTTATCGGCAGTTTTCTAATGAAAACAACGATATTCAAAGAAGCGACAAAGACAAACGCGCAACAGGGAGAATTACTTTTCTTAATATCGATAGAATGACAGTCGACTCGGAAAAAAAAAACTTTTAAAGCTTCGAAATTATCAGCAACTGTAAAATTTGCCGCATCGTAAATCAAACTCGAGCCCTTATTGTATTTTCGTCGAACGTATGCGCATTGGAAAATCGATGGTCACTTGCGATGCCAAAAAAAAAAAAAAAAATGGCCGCCTACGGCTGTCTCGAACAGATCGCGATAAAGGCTCTCTTGCTCGCCCTTATTCGCGTATATTATGATGTGGACAATACGATCGAAATTCGTTGGGCTTAGCTTAAAAGAAAGAAAGAAACAGAATGGTCGCGCACAGCCGGGATACGTACGTGTGTGCGGTAACGGGAGAGAGATAAATCGACGAAGAGGGAAAACGGTAAAGCAAGCGGCGGATGACGCCAAAGTCGTAAAGCACGGGCCCTTTCCCCGCGTGGATTTTCCTCCGCCGTGGTCGCGCGCAGCTCCAAGCCCGCGACGGGCGAGCTGCCGAGGGCAGCTCGTGGTCGCGTGCGCGAAAGGGCTCGTCCGCTGCGTCCCGTGTCGCGCGCTCCGGTTCCTACGGCCTCTGCGATCCCGCCCAAGTTCCCTGGCTCGCCCGACCGATTGTCCCCCGACAGTGCGGGAGTCGCATTTGCCCGAAGGTCGCTCACCTCGCGGCCGCGCGTCGAAGCGAGGATTCGTAATCGGACATCGCGCACGCGGCGCCACGAGAGAGGCCCTCGTCGATGGCTGCGCGCTGATTCCGCGAAAGCCTCCCGATCCTCCGCCGGATAGTTCGTTAAAAGTCGACCGATGATTTACGCCGCTCGGCCGCTGCTGCTGCTACTGCTGCCGCCGCTGCTGCCGCCGCTGCTGCCGCAAATAAGAAAAAATTAATTCGTATTCGGCGCGCGCGATATACGTCGATATAAATCACGCGAGAGGGCACACGCGCTCCGCGATCCTTAATCGGGCGCCGGACGCTTTCGTCTTCTTGTCGATGCACATTAGCTTCCTTTGAATGCCGCGTGGCTCGCTTCTGCTCCCGCGCGCGACAGCGAAGAGCAAGCGTGTTTCGCTTTATCCTCCGAGGGACAGCTGCAGCTCGGTAGCTTTTTGGTGACGTGGAGATCGAAGCACGGGAACACGGAGAATCATCGGACTGCGTTTCGGCGATTTGTCGAGTGCCTCCGTCGCCACTGTCACGTTGCTTTAAGAGATCGGAAGCTTACGCGCTTTCTTTTTTTTTTTTTTACGGGTCTCGGTCGACCTTACGATTAACGTAGCGAGTTAGCGAGTTATTTCGTCGGATCTAACGAACATCGGAACGCTCGGGAGATACACTCGTTCGCCTCGCCGCGACGCGGCATTACGGCAATGTCGATTTAGAAAGTCGCGGCACGTTTCCAGGGCGGTATGGAGTTTTTCGCACTCTCGGCTCGGCTGCTGCAGCGAAAGGAAAGTAAAGCGGCCGACCGACGCCGCCTCCCAACGCGTACACATATATACAATGTATATATCAAATGCGGATTTGACCTTTATTATCGCACGGACCGAAGTGCACATGTTTTCGCTTCTAAATAATACATTCGAGACAAACAGGATTGCAAGAAGTACGCGGACGTGCCACTTAACCAGTTTCGCGACGATAAGTTTATTTTTTGTTGCGCCAATAAAGTTCGCCTTAACCACCAGCGCCGCGTTATTTTTCGGCGAAGAGCGCGCGTGCGTATCAATCAAAAAGCAAGGCTTACTTTTAAGCTGTCGTGCGGAAAAGAAATTCGTACGCATCTCTCTCTCTCTCTCTCTCCCTTGTCGGGAAAAAAAAGAGAGAGGACGAAAGGTATGTAATTATCTCCCGATGCTCTTCGCAACAGCTTTGCACTTAATCCATATCGCTCGTTAATACTTGAAAAGAAACTTAACGGTAAGCGAGAAAAAAACAATGAATTCTCAGTTACGTAATATACACGTGTGTGTGTGCGTACGTGCGCGCATTGTATCGTAGAAAAGGTTTGAACGCCAGCGGTTTTCAATCAGAAAACTTGGGCATAAAAGAGAGATGATCGTAATTGACAAGCTTGATTCGACACTACCACCGGCAGGATAGCAATTAAGCTAACTGCGCGCAATCCGATGCCGAACGCGCACGAAAGCGTACGATCTGCCTCCTTTATGCGTGCGTTAGCTTTGAAAGAATGGACGCGCGTTTCAATTTTCCGTAGTCGTTGGAAGTGTGTTTGCGTTGGCGAATCGAAAGAGTCTGAAGGCGATAAACGGACTTCGTCGGAGAGCACCCCGTGATGTATGAATTTTTTCCATATACCCGCGATGACGAAGCCTCTCAATGAATAGTAATAATTGTCGATCAATGCAAACAAGAAAGAGAGCGTGAAACTTTCTCTGCCACATAGTTAATTAAGCGGCTGGATTCCGTTCTAATTGGATTAATCGGCTGGCGCGCGCGGTTGCGACAAATCGTTATTAAGCCTTTTTTTTTGTCTCGCTTCTATCGAGTTTACGTCATCGGTCGGAGGAAAAGAGGGAAACAAAAAAGAAAAAGGAAAAGCACCATGCCACAGCGTGCGATCGCAGATCGAAGCTCCGAAAAACCAGGTGCTCTCATGAGTGCCACACCCACGACACCAAGATCCGTGTTTCTCATAGACTGCTGCACGCCATTTGCATTGCTTTTCGAGTTTTACGGGCCCTCTGCACTGCTAATCCGCCTTTTCCATCTCGACCTAGTTTTGCGGCTGCAAATAAATAAACGGTTCTTTTTTCTTGCCATTTTTCCTCCTTATTCTTTTTTTTCTTTTGCAAGGCGCGCGTGGGAGTTGAACAACCAAGAAATACGCTCGATTGTCCAAAGCTGATGGATTGCGAATTCTGTTTTCTAGGTCGTTAGATCGCAAACGATTAATAAAAATAAAACCGTCCCTTTCATCGCGCCGCCATCTACGTAACTATATTACGCTGTGGCTGCGATTTTTCGCCCATTAACTTTCAAAGTTGTCGCCGCGAAAATGGCTCACCCGAGCGAATGCCACGGAACGTGCGCAGCGTGCCCACTGCCGCCGAGGAAAAAACCGACGAGGCGAAATACGAAAAATTCACCGCCACTCTCTGGAATTTCCACTCGATGCAGCAGCAGCGCGCGAAATCCAAGTCCGTTTTCTTTTTTCGCGCGCATAATACCTACTTAGCGTGGCCGTTAAATGCGGCGGCAGTAGCATCCCCGTAATTACAGCGCTAAAAGCCGGCGAGCCAACTCGCGCGCGACATTGACTCGGCAGAGTCGCACTTATCTCGTTCTCGCTTTTATCTCGGCGGTTGGCGGCCGTAAATCAAACCTCCTCGCTGCTTAATCCTTCATTCTTTCGTTCTCGTTTTGTTCGGCTCGCTTCTTGGCAATTGATCAATCTTCGGATGCAAATTCCATTGGGAAACTGCACGGTGACCACGCCCATGCCGGAGAGAAAGTTCAACTGTATAATTTTTGTTTTCACGGTTAGAAGCGCGCGTGTGATGCAAGTGTCTGCGCGTAAAAAGCTGCTGCATTCTTCGCGGCACAGAGCGCGGCATTCTTCGGCGCTGGAGCTTTACGACTCCCGCGTTTTTCGGAATTTTTCCGGCGGCGCGCTGCCAGGCTTTTACAGTTACGTGCTGTGGCGCTCGAGAGAGGAGGCTGCTCCTTCGTCTCCTCTCGCGCGCCGCGGCATAATGAAGTCGTCGGCGCCGTCGGCCGAAATTCAGCGACGCGTACGGACGGTCGTTGGCGCGTTCGTCGACGCGTTCGTCGGCGCGTTCGACGGCGCGATCGCGCTCACATCGCTCGTCATCCGTTGCGCGGCCGAGCCTGGATCGCGCTGGATTTACTTTCGACCGTGAGTTACACGGCAGAGAAAGCGCGACGGCGGCGGCGGCGGCGGCGGCGGCGCGCGATTGGTCACCTATGGGAAACCGAAGTGTGCTGCAGCAGGCAGGCAGAGCACGCGAGATACCTATCGGCGGTGTGTGCGCGCAGTCTGCGCCACGTAACCGGGGCGCAGTCATGGGAGCAGCCGGCGCTCGGGTGGAGGAGAGAAAGCGCCTGCATTTCGCACACGACTTCCGCGCGGCTCGCCTTGGTGGCTCCGACCGCTCCACCGGGGCCTCCGCGCTCTCGGCGTTTTCGCTTGGCTCCCACACTGCTGCCACCGATCGCTCATCCCGGCCGTCCGCTGCCTTGCCGGCCGACTCCTTTGCGCGAGCGCCGCTCTCGCGCTCGTGGGCCGCGTCGAAAAATTGTCGATACACGGGCCGAGGGAGAAAAACGGGTGAGGGGGGGGGGGGGCACCCACATAACGAGGTAGTTTTTCGGAGAACACACGCGGCGACCTCGATCTGCTCTCTTTCAGAGTCGGCCGACGACGCGGCGCGCGGACGGAGAAGCTAGAGAGAAGGCAAATTACCGCAGGCTCTCCCATTGTTACGTATACTCTCTCTCCCGCGGGCAACATGATTTACGTCTGGCCGAGCGTAGCCATTTTTTTCTCTTTCTTCTTCTCGTTTTTTTCTTTTCTCCTTTTTTTTTTCTTTTTTATTTTTGGGCAAAACGTCGATTGCGAAACGAGGGCTCGTTAAAACACGAAAATTCCAGCAATTAATTAAGCCATAACTCCGACTGAAAAATGCCACGTCCGCATTGCTCTTGTCTTCGGTTAAGTATGATTTACCGTTTGGTAATCTCGTCGCAGGCAAATCAAAGAGCGCAATTAGTTGAGGCGAGCGCTAATTGCTCGGCTGTCCGGTAATTGCCGTAGTGGATGTAACGTCAGGCGTGACGCGTGATCGAATGTCCTTTTTCTCCCCCGTCGACGAATCGAAGCGCGAGGGAGCTTTTTGTTGTTCGTGAAAGCGGTGAGAATGTCGGCGCGGCAGCGCGCTCGGGAGCTTTCTCTTCGTACCATCGATGATTTATTCGCGCGCGTAAAAATCTGACCTTCATTCGTGCGATTGCCGCGAGAAAAACAGTAACGAAAATAACGCAAAAGCAAACGAGGAAAAAGGAGAAAAGAGCTACAACCCAGCCGCCTCTGTCGCAGGTTTCACGGGAACGCAATGCGAGATCAACATCGACGAGTGCGCAGCGAATCCATGCCTGAACAACGGCGTCTGCACGGACTTGATAAACGGCTTCAAGTGCAAGTGCGCCGATGGCTTCGCCGGTGTGCACTGTCAAATCAACATCGACGACTGTGCCTCGTCTCCGTGCCGCAACGGTGGCACGTGTCACGACAGCATCGCGCGCTACACCTGCGAGTGTCCGGCCGGCTTTACCGGCGCGTCATGCGAGACCAACATCAACGATTGCCAATCGAATCCGTGCCACAGCGGCAGCTGCATCGACGGCGAAAATTCCTTCACTTGCAGCTGCTTCCCCGGCTTCACGGGCAATCTATGCCAGACGCAGATCGACGAGTGCGAGAGCAATCCGTGCCTGTTTGGCGGAAGGTGCGAGGATAGAATCAACGGCTATCAGTGCATTTGCAGACCCGGCACTTCGGGGACCAACTGCGAGATCAACGTCAACGAGTGCTACAGCAATCCCTGCAGGAACGGCGCCAGGTGTATCGACGGCATCAACAGGTAAGCGTCGCTCGCCTCGTCATCGTTTCTGCCAGCGCTCGTTACGTTCGGCTCTGACCGCTCTGAACGCGTCGCTTTTCTCGCTCGGCCGCAGGTACTCGTGCGAGTGCGAGCCAGGCTTCACCGGTCAGCACTGCGAGACCGACATCAACGAGTGCGCCTCGAATCCCTGCGCCAACGGTGGCCGGTGCATCGACTTGATCAACGGCTACCGCTGCGAGTGCCCGCGTGGCTACTACGACGCGCGTTGCCTGAGCGACGTCGACGAGTGCTCGTCCAATCCGTGCATGAACGGCGGCACCTGCGAGGATGGCGTCAATCAGTTCATCTGCCACTGTTTACCTGGCTACGGTGGCAAACGTTGCGAGGCTGACATCGACGAGTGTGGCTCGAATCCGTGCCAGCACGGCGGTGCCTGCAAGGACAGACTCGACGGTTACAGTTGCCAGTGCTTGGCTGGCTACGCCGGAATCAATTGTGAGACGAACATCGACGATTGCGCCAACAATCCTTGCCAGAACGGTGGCTCCTGCATCGATTTGGTCAACGACTACAAGTGCGTCTGCGAACTGCCACACACTGGAAGAAATTGCGAAAACAAGTTGGATCCTTGCTCGCCTAACAAGTAGGTTCCTCGCCGCGAGACACCGGCTTGTTTATGCTGTGCTAAAACCGTTCTCACGCTTGATGTATCTCCTTCTCCCGTAGATGCCTTCACGGAGCCAAGTGTACACCCTCCTCGAACTTTCTGGACTTCGCCTGCACCTGCACTGTTGGATACACCGGCCGCTACTGTGACGAAGACGTCGACGAATGCGTGATGACATCACCGTGCAGGAACGGTGCTACCTGTCGTAACACCAATGGCTCCTATCACTGCATCTGTGCCAAGGGTTATGAAGGACGGGATTGCGTTATCAACACTGACGACTGTGCTTCATGTCAGTTATAAGAAATTTATCGTCGTCGTATCTTTATTTCCTTTGTATTCATTGGAAAAAACTAATAACGCGTGTTTTTAATTGCAGTCCCTTGTCAGAACGGCGGCTCTTGTCTGGACGGCATTGGCGACTACACCTGCCTGTGCGTGGACGGTTTCAGCGGCAAGCATTGCGAGGTCGACATCGACGAGTGTATCTCGGCACCCTGTCAGAATGGAGCCACCTGCAAAGAATACGTCAACTCGTATACTTGCCAGTGCAGGCTCGGCTTCTCCGGTATCAACTGTCAGACTAACGACCAAGACTGTACCGAGTCGTCTTGTATGAACGGTGGCACTTGCATCGACGGTATCAACAACTACACTTGCGTCTGTCGACCTGGATACACTGGTTCCAACTGTCAGTATAGAATCAACGAGTGCGACAGTAATCCTTGCATGAACGGAGCAACGTGTCACGACCACGTTCAGCATTACACTTGTCATTGTCCTTATGGATTCACTGGTGAGAGATGCGAAGGGTACGTCGACTGGTGTGCCGAATCACCTTGCGAGAATGGAGCTACATGTCTGCAAAAGAGAAACAAATACGAGTGCGTCTGCTCGCCTGGATGGACTGGTAAGGTCTGCGATGTTGAAATGGTTTCTTGTAAGGATGCCTCGCTTCGTAAGGGCGTTGCCGAGAGACGATTGTGCAACAACGGAACCTGTAAAGACATTGGTAACAGTCATACTTGTATCTGTAACGAGGGTTACACCGGTAGCTATTGTCAGACCGAGATCAACGAGTGCGACTCGGCTCCTTGTCAAAACGGTGCTACCTGTCGCGATCTCGTCGGTTCCTACCAGTGTGATTGTACTACGGGTTTCCAAGGTCAGAACTGCGAACTCAACGTGGACGATTGCCGACTGAATCCATGCCAGAACGGTGGCACTTGTCATGATCTCATCAGCAACTTTAGCTGCTCCTGCCCACCCGGCACTCTTGGTTATCTGTGTGAAATCAACGTCGACGATTGCGTGAAAGATGCCTGCCACAACAACGGCACCTGCGTTGACAGAGTCGGTGGCTTCGAATGCAAGTGTCCACCTGGTTTTGTTGGTCCACGTTGCGAAGGTGACATCAACGAGTGTCTGTCCAATCCTTGCGCAGCACCTGGTACTCAAGACTGCGTGCAACTGGTCAACAACTACCACTGCAACTGCAAGCCTGGTTACATGGGTCGTCACTGCGAGGTTGAAGTCAATTTCTGTGACAATGCTCCGTGTCAGAACGGCGGTATTTGTACTGCAGAGAAAGCCGGTCATACGTGTCTCTGCCCAAGTGACTACTATGGCCCCAACTGCGAGTTTTCCGGATCGTACTGCGACAGAGAGCCGTGTCTTAATGGTGGTACTTGTCGAGTGACCAACACTGCCGTCGGCTACAGATGCCACTGTGCACCTGGTGTCGCTGGTACGCACTGTGAGATCGATGCCCTCGACGAGTGCCAGAGCAATCCTTGTCAGCAAGCTGAAGCGATGTGTGAAAATCTTCTTGGAGATTATGCTTGCTACTGCCCACCCAAGTGGACTGGCAAGAATTGCGAGATCTACGATCCCAATTATCGCGGTGGCGTGTTCGGCAGAAGGAAGCCTAATCAATCCGTTCAGATGAATGCCTACGATCTTGATCTTGAGCGTGAGAAAAAGAAATGCATCGAGAATAGATGTGATGAGAAATCCGGCAACCACAAGTGTGACGAGGAATGCAATCGATATGCTTGTAACTTTGATGGAAACGACTGCTCGCTAGGTATCAATCCATGGAGGAACTGTACTGCTCCGATCAACTGCTGGGACGTATTTATGAACGGCGAGTGTGATGAGGTCTGCAACAACGCCCAGTGCTTGTTCGATGGTAGGGACTGTGAGAAGAGGCTTGCACCTTGCAAGTAAGTAGTCATTTATATAGATGTTTGGTCAAATATTTGTTGGTACTCAAGCTGATACTAATAATTTTATTTCAATTTCACAGCCCAATCTACGATGCCTACTGTCGTAAGCACTACGCAAACGGCTATTGTGACTATGGCTGCAACAACGCCGAGTGTAACTGGGACGGTCTCGATTGCGAGGATGAACCGCCATCTCTTGCTGGTGTAATCTCAGTTGTAGTACGCATGGACATGCAGACTTTCCGTCAGAACATCGTTGGTTTCCTTCGTGATATGGGCCACGAACTGCGCACCACCTTGCGTGTGAAAACGGACGAATTGGGCCAGGAGATGATCTTTCCGTGGAAACGCGACAACCAGCCATCTATCCAAACGAACTTCTTCGGTCGTCCTACCAGTATTTACGGCGATAAACAGACCGGAGTAGTTGCTTATCTCGAGATCGATAATAGAAAGTGTACAATGACTTCGAATGCCGTATGCTTTCCAACGGCAAACGAAGCAGCGGAATATCTTGCGGCTAAGGCCTCGAAGCACACGTTGACGAGAAACTACCCGATTGAGAAGGTCGAGAGTGTGATCGATCAGATTTCCGACTATCCAGACTCACAGACCAACTACAAGTATGTACTAATCGGTGCGATTCTCGTCGTCCTCGCGACTAGCTTGATCGGTGTACTTGTCACCGCGAAGCGACGTCATCCTGGCAAAATCACGACTTGGTTCCCCGATGGATTCATGTTGAGTTCATCTAACAGCGTGCAACGTCGTCGAGCAGCACCTCGTCGCCGTGGCCCCGACGGTCAGGAGATGCGTAATTTAAATAAACCACAACCTGGTAGCAACTGCATGAGTCTCGAAGTAGGCAATGGCAGAACACCACAATGGTCGGACGATGAGTCGGATCTGCCGCCTTCGAAAAGAATGCGCGCCGGTTTGACCGAGCCAGGTTATGCCAGTGATCAAACTATTATCACCGATTATGAAGAAGCCGAACCGAGGTTATGGTCACAAGGACATATTGATCCTTCGGACATGCACACCAGGCCGGATGCTGGTGGACGTACGCCGCCGGATCATGCCGATGGGTTGAATGCCAGAAATCCTTGCGGTATGACGGAGCTCATGGTTGCTGCTGTTAGCGGTGGTGGTCTGGATACTGGCGAGGACGATGAAGATAGTGATGGCACTGCTGCAGTTATTACTGATCTTGTCAACCAGGGAGCTGACTTTAATGCAGTTACTGATAAGACTGGTGAAACTTCGCTGCACCTTGCTGCAAGGTACATACACTTTTTCACGCTCATCAAATTCATTTGCATTATACGAAATGTATTCATTCAACCAAACTGATGTTTACAGGTACGCACGTGCGGACGCCGCAAAGAGACTGCTAGACGTAGGTGCGGATGCAAACTCAATGGATAACAACGGTCGTACACCACTTCACTCGGCTGTGGCCGCTGACGCGATGGGCGTCTTCCAGATTCTGCTGCGCAATCGCGCCACCAATCTGAACGCTCGCATGCACGACGGCACGACACCGCTGATTTTGGCCGTACGTCTTGCTACGGAAGGAATGGTCGAAGATTTAATCAACGCCGAGGCAGACATCAACGCCGCTGACAACAGTGGCAAGACAGCTCTCCACTGGGCTTCAGCTGTCAATAATACTGATGCTGTGAACATACTCTTGGTGCATGGCGCGAACAGAGACGCGCAAGACGACAAGGACGAGACACCGTTGTTCTTGGCAGCGAGAGAAGGTAGTTACGAAGCATGTAAGGTGCTACTCGATAACTTCGCCAACAGGGAAATTACCGACCATATGGATCGGTTACCCAGAGATGTGGCGGGCGAGAGAATGCATCATGATATTTGCCGATTAATCGATGAGCACGTAACGAGGTCACCTCAGATGGTCTCCGTAATGCCTAATGGTCCTCTAATGGGTAAGTTCGTTTGTGTGTTATTAAATTTCCTTGGTTTTTTCACACTACATCAGTATTTAAAATTTGTATTGTGACATATTTAAATTCGATACAATTAACGTCTCTCTTTTTTCTGATTCATCAGGCTCACCAAATCATCCACAATTGATACCGCATCCGACAGTGATAAGCTCCTCGTCGAAGGCGTCAAAGTCGAAGAAACGCGCGAAACCCGGCAACCCAAGCAGCCCGGAATCGGAAAACGGCGGAGGCGGCGGTGGCGCAGCGTCGGTCAGGCGAAAACCTTCGGTAAAGAAACAGCCTCCGGCAAAGCGCGCCGCCCAGCCGAATCCCAATCAAGAACTGCCACAAGGAGCTGAAGGTGCCGAGGGTAATTTGCCCTCGCCTTACGATAGTGCCAGTTTGTATAGCAATGCACTGCCACCATTGGTTGGAGCCACGCAAACTCACACGCAAGCAACGGCAGCCGCAGCTGCAGCTCAAGCTGCTGCTGTTGCCGCTGCGGCGGTTCAGGCTGCCAAGCAACCACCTCCATACGAGGATTGCATCAAATCTCAAACTATGCAACCACAGAGGTGAGATGACTTTTAGATTTGATTATTTTTATTATTTTATTATGTGAAAATTGAGAGTTTATGTACTTATACGTGTATATGTTTCCATTGGCAGCTTACAACAGCAGCTGGGTCATTTGGACGGCTATACGAGCTACGGGCTGCCGAATTTTCACGACCAGCTGCTGGGGGTACAACACCAACAGCAGCGTCAGCAGTCAAACGGGGGCACGAACGGCACGGCAAGCATGATCGTAAACACGCTATCACCACCGTATAGTAACCAGTCGCCACCGCACTCGGTTCAGTCGAACATGACCCTGTCGCCACAGGCGAATTACATGGGTTCACCGTCACCAGCGAAAAACCGACCATCCTTGCCAACCTCGCCCACCCACATAGCGGCGATGCGACAGGCGACGCATCAGAAGCATGGCGGCATACCTCCAGTGGGGTTTGACTTTGAGAATCTGCCTTACCCACAGCAGCAGATGCAACCGCAGCAACAGCAACAGCAGCAGCAATTTCAACAGCAGCAGCAACAGCAGCAGAGCCAACAACAGTACTATCAGTACTTGACGCCGCCGTCTCATCATTCGGGTCCGGACGTCACGCCGCAGCACCTAATGCAAGCACCCGAGAGCTTCCCAACGCCGTCGCCTGATAGCCCTGGGCACTGGTCGTCGAGTTCACCGCATTCGAACAGCGACTGGTCTGAGTGCATGGCTTCCCCGCAGAACGCCTACGGCTCCGCGCCACCAGGACACCAAAGCAATAAGGGCTCCGAGGCTATCTACATTTGAGTGTCTATGTGTGCGCGCGAGACTGAAACTGCGGACTCTCTTTTTAATCCGTAGATTCTTTTTTTTATTAGACACAACTTTTTTGTGCTGCTCGGTCTTTGCGACCGATGGCAACAACAATGCCGTTAATCACACGACATTCAAGCGCCTTAATTATTATATATTATAACGTTTTTTTATTCGAAATGATTAATTATTAATTTTTATAAGCTATATTTGTGAAAATGAGATATATATATATATATGTATATACAAATATAAAGAAAAATGCTTGTTCGATTTATTTGACTATAGTCAGAGGGTGGAGATTTTACGGGATTGATCGAGTGCTTTTTTTCCTTCAGAAAAATTGGTTTTTTTATGTGCATTTTCATTTTTTTCTCATGCAGTCATATGCTATTCTAGTTTCTTTTAGATAAATTAACATTTTAATAATAATGATTATTAATTTTTCTTACTTTGGACGAGCAATACGTTCATAATATGTGAATGCATGTACATAATTATTGATGAAGTAAACTGTTTCGGTTTATTTGACTATAGTCAAATACAATGCGAAGAGTAACTTTAGTTTATTTGAACTGATCTAAAAGTATCATAAAGATCATGCAAGTTATAGGAGATTTTTATACACTTTTTTTCTCATTTTTGTCTTTGTTTTAATTTTAATATACGACTCGTTGCGCGATTTTGGTGAATCGCGATGTTCTTCCAAAAAACGCTGATTTTGTCGACGTTATCTGGTTGCAGATATGCAGGTCCCCTTGGATGCCACGCGTCCTATTAGTAAACAAATCAACTCGTGCTCTGCGCCCTTCCCCCATCACTTTCTGTGTTAATTAAAAAGTGTATTAAAAACAGAAAAAACGTAAGACTTCTATTTTTTGTCACCCAGTTGATTAAGTTAAGTTAGAATGCTCTTATTATTAATATTATGACTATTACAATATTATAATAAATCTTGTTATTCCTTGTAACTTGTAAAAAGTACTAAGTTTTATCCGTAATAATTATTTGTCTAGATAAATTAAGTTTATCATAGTCCTACTACAATCACGCTCCTATACACAATCCCTATCTATATTTTTTTAAATTATGTCTCATAGATATAATAGATAAACATAGTTTTTAACATTTAAGTGATAGGGTTGTTGTTCATTTGTGCTATGCTTTCGCGTTTTTTATTCTTTATATCATAAGCATAGATAATTCAAGTGTATTTTGAGAAATTTTACGCAACAATCAAATTGTATTATAGCAATAAAAAATAAAAATAAACATTAAAGTATACGATGTTTTCTAATTTTATTCCGACTCCTCTCTGTTATTACCTCAGTATAATTGTACCATCAATTGGAAATTGTAAGCTAATATGTAAAAAAAATCGTATATGGTTTATGTGTTTTTATTATCTTTTATAGAAAGGTTCTTTTACAAAATAACAGTTATGATTATGAATACTTTATATAGAACGTACAATTGATGATAAAATCCATTATAATAAAATTTGTTAGAATGAGGTAAAAAAATTAATTAGATAATATTTCTAATAAGTAATTCATAACTTTAGATTCAAAATCTATTTATAAAACTTAATGCATTATTGTATCTTAAAAATACTTAAAAGGTTTGGGCTTTGTTTATTTACAACTTCTAATAAATAGGATTGCTTCATCCTTTCTAACAAATAAACATACATGTAGTCAAATAGTTTTCCACCTCATAGTTTTTCTTCCAGGCATCCAATCATTTGAATCATATAAAATAAAAACAAGAATTCAATCGAATTTAATATATAAAATATATATATTGCTTATGATTGTACTTACGTGTATGATAAGCATGGTTCTTGAATATTTTCTTATAATTTTTGTAGTCTATATTTTTCAGTTCCTGTAATTCACAGTAAAGTAACTTTTCAAATAGGTTCCTTATTTATTAATAACTTAAACCATTCTGAATGTCAGTTTAAATTGTTCAGCATTATCTTTTCGTCGTTAAAAAATCCTGTACGCCAAGTAGTATTTGATACGTGAGGCATAGCAATGGCAATTCATTTCTAAATTTTGTTTCTTCAAAAAGAAAACCGATAATTCATAAACAAACACACTACAAAAGAATTGGATTTCGTTATACTACATCGTCGAGTACGTAAGCTCTTTAGCTGACGATTGCGAAATACTAAACAAGGCACCGGATCAAAATCTATTTGAACTGCTTCGGTTACATTTTTTTCTTATTTTTGCGAGTTGAAGCATAAAAGTTAGACCGTTTTACGGTATCTTTAACTAAATTCGAATATAAAAGTTAAATTAAACAAAGGACAAAAGGAGTTATAACGCTTTATTGCTCCTATTACAGAATATTCTTCACGTTAATATTTAATAATATATCCTTTATCCATTGCTGGCAATTTCTAAATGTACGATCAAGAAGATGCGATAATAGTAATTCTTCAACACAATGATATGTAAAGCTCTTTGTTGCAAGTGATTACTCAATTAGTTCATTTTTAAGAGGAATTCAATTAATGTTCTGATTGTGCGACTACAAACAAGTTTTCTCCATGCTGTATCTTTTTGTGAGAAGCTATTTATTCGGTCAGCTTTTTTCATTTTACACAACTAAATGATACGCGCTAAGCAAGTTACGTAGAGACGATCAGAATATTGGGTAAGTTGTACTGAAAGTGGTTAATCGTACAATACAAGAATGCAAAACTTTTCGGCAGGAGGAAGCGAAAAACTACCGATGTAGAATTGACGCAATATTCGTTAGACCGGTTTGGCAAGATCGAACCTGGCGAAACTTGTTTTAATGCACCATCTGCAATAGCAAATTTCAGCTAAGTGTTCAGAAAAGTGACGTTACTGAGAATAAACACGCTTTTGCAAACTGGAATTGAAACCATTTTCGGGAACTTACGAGACCAGCTGTCAAATGTGCCCTCTTGTAAATTAATTTTTAACAAATTGAATGGCGGCAGAATTATAGAAGGTTTTGTGCGTTAGAAAGCATCTCCTCGTGCTGGCATGATTTCTAAACACATAAAAACTTGTGTAAGGTGTAATAAAGCAGCTTATAAGGGTAGTAAAACTCATAACGAAATGACGTAACATCAAACAATTGACGGGTGTAGGAAATTATTTGAAAACAAAACGGTTTTCTGTCATAGACAAAATGCAACAATTATTAAATTTATATTTCAATTAAATTGACTGAGATATATTGCCCAGTAATAATTTATAAAGTATGCAGATTATCATAACTTAGTATCTCGACAGGCCTAGTAGAAGGTGGAGCTGGTAGTAAATTTGGCTTATTCACTGTCTACGTATGGCGTTAAGAATGATAAGATTCGCGTTTACTCATATGCTATAAATTCAACAGCGTATCCTCTTATCTATTCTACATATCGTTCTAATGATCTGTTCTCACTTGGTTTTACCGTCTAGAATGAGAGAGCAATATCAAATTGGTATCGCTATAGTAACGTTCATTACGAAATTGTAGAAAGGAAGGAGAATTGAGAAAATGCAAATTTCCACAAGTCCAAAGTCGCAAAATCATGGGAAGGCACGACAATTCGTTACCGCAGTCATTTGTGAGTACGATATCAGATATCACGATGAAATTCGTCAACGAAGAAATGAACGAGGCTCGAACGGATGATATTTTACAGTGAACTTGGCAACAGTCTCATTCGGCATAAGCTGCGGCTGGTCATCACCCGTGGCGCCGCAATTACGTTCGAGTCATTCGCCAGTTGGCAACGCAGCAGCGAGCTACGATGAAATCGCCTGGATCACAAGTCTACCGGCAATAGGTGGTTTCGTGACAATACCTTTTTGCGGCAGTCTGAGCGAACGAATCGGCCGCAAAAACTTCGCCATCTTATCCGGCCTGCCGCACATCGTCTTTTGGCTACTGAAAATCTTCGCGCAGAACCTGAATTACCTGTACGCGGCAAGATTCATCAACGGAATGGCAATAGCGATGACGGTGTTCATCGTGCCAGTCTACACGAGCGAAGTGGCCACCGAAGACGTACGCGGCGTTATCGGTAGTTTATTGCTCTTCTCCATCAACATCGGCATACTGTTTGCCTACATAGTCGGCGCGTTTCTCTCCTATCGACTACTTGGCATCCTCAGTCTTATCTTCCCGGTGGTCTTCGTTGTCGCCATGACTTTTATACCCGAGACACCGGCCTACCTTGTACGCCGACATCGTCCAATCGAGGCTCGCAAGTTTGTACTCTTCCTCTCGCAATCTTATCGACCTTTCTCTAGCTGCTACGAGTATCGATGACTTGTATCACGCTTGCAGATCGCTGATGTTCTACCGTGGCAACAATCGAGCTCTCGTCGAGCAAGAATTGTTCCATCTGAGATCCACGTCGTCCTCGTATGATCATTCTGCCAAGACAGATGTGAGCTTGAGTGAGTTTTTTCGCGATCGGGCTTCCCGCAAAGGTCTGATCATCTCGATGGGACTTCTAGCTGCTCAGCAACTGAGCGGCATCGTCGCCATGGTAAGCATACATTTACATTCGTCGATCCCGCTCTTGCAGGACTGCTTGCTCTTTTATTAATAATTGCTTTGTAGACAAATTACGCGGAAACGATCTTCAAACTGGCCGGCTCGTCAGTTTCGTCGGAGATCTCCTCGATAATAGTCGCGACCATTCAAATCATTGGCTCGCAAGCGTCGACGATGTCGATGGAACGAGCTGGTCGACGATTATTAAGTCTTATTTCTTGCTTCGGTATGGCTAGTAGTCTCGGCATCGTAGCTATCTTCTTTCATATGCAAAAAAACAATTACAACGTGAGTTCCATCTCCTGGTTACCACTGATCGCGCTCTCGTCTTTCATTATCGCATACTGTTTGGGCATAGGACCGGTGCCCTTTGTCATCGTATCCGAGGTCTTCGATTTGAAAGTCAGTAGTTTAGCGACTACTCTGTGCTTCGCTTTCTTCTTCATCATAGGCTTTACGGGACTAAGAACCTTCGATCTGATGATGCAGTTTTATGGGATTGATAAATGTTTCTTCATGCTTGTCGCTATTTCTGTCACCAGTTTTGTATTTTGTTACTGTTTTCTACCGGAAACCAAAGGACGCAAACGCGAAGATATCATTAATGAGCTTACAGGAAACGATAAAGTTAGGCTCGCTTTAGACGTTGACAGTAAGTTGCTTAAGAAATTAGAGTCGGTTTGAACTACAATGTCATCCTGTGTATTTTTAGATGATGGCCAATTTTATTTATATATATTTAGGAAGTTTGTTGTTGTATTCAGAATTGAAATGTTTGTAATTTTTTATGTTTATTCGATTACTGTATTTATCTTTCTGCAATTATCGGTTTGGGCTTCGTTCTGTGCGTCTCATTGCCGCATAATGGGGCGATAACGGAAATAAATAAACCAACAAATTTCACGGCTTAGAATTTAATTCATGATTAACGATCTATAAAGTGCTTAATTCGTACTAACGATGAGCGAATCGTTGACAAATAAAAAGTAAAATAGAATCAGTCTCATAATGCGAACTGAGTTAATGAACATCAATTAAGTGGAACTCGACTCGTTTATCGTCGATCGATGAATCGCTTTATTTCTTTTTCCGGAATTCATGATTGTTGAAGATTTTTTATTCGCATTCAATTAATGTACTGATCGCAATCTACTGACGCAAAATTTGTTAAGGATTACGAATCCACTATCAGATATAAATTAAATAACAATTTCATCGAAAATTCTGGAAAAAAATTAGAATTTTTTACTACAGCTTACTGTGATGGGTTTCAAAGAGGATAACACAGTTAGAATCGTTTACATTGAAAATATGTATAACATGATATTTTTACGTAATCATTCAACTTTTGAGTCCATTTCGGTTCTATCCTACTGTGGGCCAAATGCACGATCTGTAAATTGACAAGAAAGGATATTTAATTGCTTCTCCTTCGGATGTCACATCGATTTTTTTGTTTACAATATGATCATTCAAATGTACGATAAATTGACTCATACTGTGATAAAAAGTGATCTCTTTTGTGAACTGTACATTAAATTTATCGTACTTAATTATTTACCAAATCATTTCTTAAAAAGTTTATTTTACGATTAATCCACCAAAAAGCACTTCTTTATAATATCATTTAATGAAAATATCTTAATCTATCTTATGATGATTGTGAACTGTAGAGTAATTTGAGTATTCAAATAATTGATACGTAGTTTTCGTTGAAGAAATCAATGTAAATAGTGCATTACAAATGATCGGTGCGAAATGTAATATAATGACATAAAATAATGACATAAAATATTGAGAGTGATTTTGAAACGAAAAAACACGACAAGCAATAGTAAAAACACAATGGAACAAACATTTAGAAGAAAATTATGTATGCTTGGATGGAACTACCAAACAACGGCAATAACGCAAGTTTTCGCTTTATTACTTTCGACAAGACAGAGGCTACTAATTCCAGCAGTTATTTAACGTTCAAAGCTTCCAATTGAATGTCAAATTAGGAATTTAAAGCGCTTAAAAAACGCGAAGTGAAATTTGATCAGCACACATTATTAACCCGATTCGAGGCACAGTCATCCTTACAAAATCAGCTCGAAGCATGACAGTCGTAAAGTTTGTCCTAGCATCAGCTTTGTTGATCGTTGGCTTTGAATCAATCTACAATCATGGATCCAGTGCTTGAAGAGAGAATTTAAAAATCCACCAAATTACACTGATAATCAATTGAAATATGAATTCAATATCAACAAAGAAAATGTAGTCGAGACGCTGATGACTAAACCAAACCTCAGCCTCGAGCTAACAAGAATTGTGGTGTTTATGAAACTGGTATCATCGTTAAGAAGTAAGAATATGCAAATCTGTTCTTAGAAGATATCTTACAATATTTTTTATCTAATATTGTTTTATTGCAGATACAAAAAGGGAGAGAAAATAATAGTGATAGTGAACTTAAGTGCCAGTTATACCGGCCACTTTTAATTATCAATTTGTCCAGCTAAAGTGGGACAATGACATTGACAAGTCCAAAAAGTACTTCGACAAACATACGGCGAAACTTGCCAATGGTGGCTACAAATACTCATCGGCAAGAACCATGATTATAAAGTTGTGGTAGTTCTACCCCCGAACATTACTTATAAACGTTGTACAATCTGACAACATAATAAAACTGTTAACAACTAAGTCATACGTGAGATAAGAATGACAAAGGCATTAAAATGACAATTGTGGAAATCTAGAATTTTTCAGACGTTGCGCCGACGTCAGTATTTCGTGAATTGGTTTTTGTCTGGTAATTAATAAATGATTATTTGAGCATCTTTAAAAGAAAAATCTTACTGACTTTGTTTATTCAAAATTTTCGAACAAACAATCAAGAAAACAACAAACACGAAATTAGTTATAGCGCTCGCCTAATTTTCAAGTATTGCCAAAATTAGTCGAATCGACTGTATTTTTCTATAATTTTATAGATAGATTGTTGATCGGAAAATTTGAGAAAATTAACGCATTTCACCACATCATAAAACATTTAATATATATTGAGTAATTTGAGAATATAAATTATACAAATTATAAAAAGATAAAAATCTTGCTTCTACTTCAAGTACTACTTGACTGATAATAATTGATAATAAATAATTGATAATAAACTGATAAAAAGCTATTAATTTTGTTTAACTTGGTAGTTGCCGAGGTAGGGGAAGACGAATGGATGTGGAAAGGTAATATCAGAATTTTAACTCGATCATGAAATCAACGAAGAGAGGCGCTTTGATCTTTCGATAGCCGTCTATCTTCGTTTGACAAAATTTTGTAATGGATAGGCAACCAAACCGAATAAAATCAGTAAGTCTTAATATTTAATAGAAATTGAAGACACAAATCATTTGCCATAAGAGCATATGAAAGGAAGCGGTAGAAATGTAGTTTTAGAAGGAAATGTGTATTCAATAAATCTTGAATATATACATATTCAGATTGAATGTGTAATTTATGTTATAAATATGCACTCAGATAATTCAAGTTGCATAAATATGCGTTAAGATAAATCAAGTTGATTGATCTTAATCATATGTATGTTATTTCGAGTATATTATAGATAACCAATTACAATGAGCAATAGCAATTGTTTTTCAAAATTTTCGAAATCGTCATTTTGATACGTTTTTTTTAATTTGAAAATATCTATGAAGATGTTCATATCGCTTTCAATGTTATCTTTATTCCTTTGATAAGCCTTTTTAATTCTTTAGCAATTTCATTTACTGCAGACGTATTGACTTTATTTAACAAATTGAAATTCGCGTGCCAGTGATTTGGGAGTTTTTCTTCTTCAAGTTTAAATTGAATTCGACGAAGCATCTGTATAACAATGTAACTTATTTATTTAGTTCAGATTCACCACAAATATTAAAATAATGTCTATTCTACTCACATGTATAAATACAGCCATTCTGGAAACTCGAAGGTGAAACAGTCGAAATCTAATGTCGTCTAATTTATGCATGAATACCGATTCTATAAAGTAACTTCAAATTATGCTGTTTGTGTACGTCTCGTGATGTCTATATTTTAAAAGTAAATAAGTTGTCATCGATATCACGTAAAAAAAACAATATATATTTCCTAGCCGTTGAGAAAATAATACTTTAACTTACCTTTGCCAATCTTATAATTGGTTTTAATTGACCATAAAGTAGCCGTTTCTTGTCATCGTAAAATCCAACCCGATATAAAATATTTTCATCTCTCGTACTGTCGGCTTTCAATAGGTTTGCAATAGTGATAAGTTTCTACAAAATTTTGTTAATTAACTTTTGGTCGTTTTGGCGGATTTCCATATGAACTTACGTATTCGTTGCGAGCACGGAAGCCACTTAAAGACGTGTAATTCTGAAGAACTAAACATGGCACCATATCGACTTCCATTTTCCATCGGTCATTTATTCTTGTGATATTGAGAGTGAACACGGAACCAGTTGGTCTGAATCTTATCCATTGAAAGAATTAAGAAAAATCAATTCCATCGCAACGCGATTATTCGATAAAATATGCTCATTACTTACGCAGTAAATATGAAGGGGATTAAGTAGCAGTAATTGCAAGGGAATTAAGAGCTCTGTGAAGTGTCCTGTGAACCTAGCTGCGAAATTTATTTTCATTCAAATAATTATTTTCGTTCAAGTCAAGCCAAAAATTTTAGTTACATCTTCGTTGCAGTTACATTGCAAACGGTGAAAAAAATTTTTTTCTCTTCACATAATAAATGTAACTTTGTCTTTCTGTGCTTAATCTCAAGTTGTTTTTAAATAAATTATTAAAATGTTTTATGCTCGATGAATTCGTTTTCAATTATTTTTATTTTGACTTAGGTTTGAGTGTCGGTATTTGTATCTATCTGTATATTAGAAAGGAACTCAATGAATGGCGTACAATATCCGTATCATTATATGGTAACTATGAAAAAGTACCACAACACATCTTGATCAATAGATCGTGTTAAATTGACCATTAAGCATAAATCATACTCATCTGGTTCGCTAACTTTCAAGTTTTTGAAAAAGCATACTGTACATCCTGAAAGAGATCATTAAAATGGCTATCTACTCGTTTCATATGTGGTATAATTTTTTCAATTACAATCTGAAAAATTATAAATAAATTAAAGTGATATTTGATAGAACACAAATCTAGTTTTCTAAAAATACAAATATACACAAGCATAGTAATAATATTCATAAATATCTTTATTTTATAAAAAAAGATTATTATAAAATTATTAAAAAATTGTTTCTAAATTTCAATGTTTGCTTTAATGTCTTCGGGTTTTAATTTAACCATATATTTGAATATTAAATGTAAAATTTCGTTATTTTTAAATGTCTAGTATCTCGACTGATTGAATATTCTAATCTGAAACATATAATTACATAGTAGAAAGACTAATCTTTGTTCCTTGAATAAATTTTGAGTTAAAATAATTACCGTTGTCCACACTTATTGTATTGAGCGTCAGACATAGATACTCCTGAGTCTTTTTTAATGTGCTATTCTTGTAACTTTTATTGATTTAAATAGTTAACTTCATCTGATAGGTCATACCCATCATAAAGTTCTTATTCCTGAAAGAATAATGTGATAAATTTAAGAAACATTAACAAACTCAATTAACAGAGATTAATTTTCACTTTTTTTCGTTATTTAATGTACTCATCAAACATTGTATAAGTACATCTTAGAATGTTTCAGTAAGCAAACTTGTTTCATTACGTTACGTGCTTTAAATACGAACCTACTATAAAGTCATATTAGTCAATTAATACTAAAGTTTTATAATGATTAAAGTACCTGATACGGCAGTTTTGATAATCGCTACCACGCCAAGATAAACTGGTAGAATCATTCTTTTTTTTTATTTTCTCAACTTGATAAGCATAGATACGCCATATCTGCTTGCGTTTCAGCTTTCACTTTATGACTCAACCATAAATTTAATGGGAAGTTCAATGGTCGCGTATTTATATATTTAGAGGGTAATTTCACCTGGATTAAATATATGTCTTTTATTATAATTCAATAAAATATAGATATTTTAAGAGTGCGAATAATCTATTCCATAGCGTATTCATATAACAGTGTATTAACAGTAGAAATTTCTTGAAATGAATGAATTTTTATGTATCATAATTACACGTCATACTTTTAAGTTCTATAAAATATAAAGGTGTGATTCTTGTATGAAAATGTTTGCAGCTTATTCAGCAATATGTAACCAAATTTTATCTCGAATAAAGTGGTATCATACATACAAAAAATAGCTATGATAGTAGTTTAGCCTAGCCTACATTGTATTTGCAAAATATTGATGGAACCTTTGATCAACACTTTTTCTTTAATCGTTATAATCTCTATTATCTTTATATCTCCAGGAAATTGTTTATTTATTCAATTTGTGTAAAATATATAAATTTTTTAATTATGAAAATCGAGTTGTGTCTTCATATATATTTTAAATATATGTGAGAATTTGAACACAAAGGGTCGAAAATAAAGGATGAAATGCACTTATAATGGATGCATGTTTAGAATTTATTGATAAACAGAATAAACTGATTGGCAGCTTTATGAAAACACAAAAAATGTGGTGTAAATCACACGTTGAAATAATAAATTGTAAAATGTTTTTCAAAAAATAAAAATTGATCGATCCATAAGTAGTACCTCTGACAAACGCGCCGAAAACTGTTGTCAATTCCTTTAATTCCTTCTTCAGACTACTGTGGAATTGGTAAGGAATAAATACGCGAGTTACGTTTCAAATAGAAGTTCTATCACAAATGACAAGGATTTACAAAGTGTACACCATGCGTGTGCCCCACAATACATATATATATAATCTAAAAAACGTTACTGCTTTATTGATAGACTGCAAATTAATGGATTGATAAAATGTTGTATATATGTACTATCTGCTGAGCTTCGTATAAAAAAATGTTGCTCGATAAAGCCGTAAAAATTAGAAGGCGCAAATATAGCTTTAATTAAAACGCGATGAATTTATTTATGCAAAACCTTTTTCGTACTGTTCAAATTGAAAACACAAAATCATTGACGAAAAATCTTTATTGAAGTGAAAGAGCACCATCCGGTCGAACCATCTGTATTTGAGAGAAGATTCAATCACGATTGAAATCAGAGATTTGTCGGTGTGTACAATACGATACCTGATATTTTGTTCTTTGTCGTTTATGTATATTGAACGAATCGTCAAAGTGCACACAATCTTTTATACCGTGAGAGTGACACTTTAATTTCAATGGAATAACATTACCGACATCATTGCGTTGATTGACATCCGATTAAAGAGCCGATTTATGTGAAAGACAAGACCCAATGATGGAATGGCAGATCTTTGCACACTAATAAAAAAGAAAAGAGATGCGTAAAAAAAGCGTATCTATTTATTTATACATTTGGTATTTGTCGTTATATGAACTTGATGAAGTTACAAAAAATACAACTTCATCCGTAGTTCCATTTGTCATCTTAAAATCCCACCCCATTTGGTCGTATGGATTGTTTCGTCTTGAGCCCTTCCACGTCATCAAGCTTACTAGCTTAACGGCACGTTTTAACATTATTTTTTATTTTGTTTGTTAGCAATAAAGCGATTTTTGGGGCGAGAGTAAAATACGCATATATTTTGAAATGATGAAATTGTGTTTATTACCGTTTAAAAAGTGTAAGTATTACTACACAATCATCACACCAGTCTTCTTTATAAGTTACAGCATGATTCGTCTTTACATTTATATATAAATTTACCTCGATTCTCATTCCTCGTGCTGTTTAATTATATATAAGTTTAAACGTTTTCTCATTCACACCGCATATTTATAAATCTACTAAAATTTTGCACCTTACAAGATCACTGTGGCTGGTAAACGCTGTTCTTTTCTTACAAACGCACATTATTACAAAATGTGCAAACGTGTTTTTCCAGTAAAAGGTATACGTTATCTTTACAATACAATTCTCTTTTTTTCTCATACGCATGAGGTTTCCGTCGTTGGTGCACATACGTAAGTGACTTTAATTTTCGCTTGCAATGAATTCGAACGAAACAAAAAAATAAAATAATGAGGAGCGTGCATGAGGCAAATCAAAATAAATATAGGATGTTCATTACACATTCTACACGTAAAATGATTTATTATTATACTTTTTACAAGTGGCAGCGGTTTTTGCATAATAATCGACCTCTAATCATTAACGATCTACGAAGTACTTAATTCGTACTAAAGATGAGCGAATCGTTGACAAATAAAAAGTAAAATAGAATCAGTCTCATAATGCGAACTGAGTTAATGAACAACAATTAAGTGGAACTCGACTCGTTTATCGTCGATCGATAAATCGCTTTATTTCTTTTTCCAGAATTCAAACTTATACGATATAAACTTAATGATTAAGTAAAATTTATGCGAACAAAAATTACATTACAAAACTATAACTTCAATTATTCCATTTCCACTCAAATTACTAACGTTATAAAGTTAGAATTCGTTCCTTGTTGCGTACACTACGTTTTTTTACACGATAAGGTTCATGCGTAATTATTTGAATCAAAATCAAATTAATTATAAAAAACATTCAAGAAAGAAACTAATGATTTGATAACTGAAAAGAATACACACATCACGAAATTATCCTGTAATTGTTGTACATTGTACTCAAAAATTAAAGTAGCTAAGATAAAATAAAATCGCACTACAAAAATGAAACAGTCATATTTTTAGTATAACATCGATGGCTTTACAAACGACACATTTTTACGTGCATATACAAAGAACACCGTATACTCGCATATTTATTAAAACAATCATTGAAAATGAATGTTAACTTCAAATTCGAATTTGGAAAAAAATGCACAAAATATGTTGTCAATAACATAAGGCAGCTCGTCCTCCCCCCAAATTATATCTATATTTTAAATATTCTGCACCCTATTACGCATCTTTTTTCAAATAATTACCCACTTTTGTGCGATAAAAAATGGCGGCTTGTTTTCTGGAAAATTGCCATGTATTGAATTCTGACCATCTTCACTATACACTATGTTTATTTTATATGTTGCCTCATGAGATGTTTTATTTCGAATATTTACATGAAAATTTGATCGTGAAAACGATCGTCTGCCGTAATTTTAACTAATCATCAAGCATTCATAAATTACATACCAAATTGTTTTATGTTAACAATGTCCGAAATTGGATGCTGACGAGCAAAGAAAATTAATTGAATTTTCCACTTTTACATCACAAAAATAAACTTCGACAATCAAAATACAATCGTTTTGCCATGATTGAAATTTTTGTCAATATTTCAATCACCCATACGATATTTAATAAATTAGTCGTTCTCTAAATAGTTTTGCAAATATTATTTGCAATTCCTCAAAACAATAATCTATTTCTGATAATCAATCATATACCTAAATTTGCTAATTTTATAATTTCGTTTAACAAAAAGTCTTCAGTATTTTTCAGCTATACTTTTTTTGGAATAATCATGCATTCGAATCAATTCCAGCATCAGAGCTTACATACTAAACGTACACTCGCTTCTCTAGAAATTATCACAAACATTCGTACAAATTTGAGAATCATACAAATGCTATCGTGTATATATAACTTATCTAACCTGGCTATATACTCTATTCAAATCTTAGACATAAAAAAGAATCATCATTATTTACATTACGATACTGGCAGTATTAATTATTCGTCTATCTTTTTCGACTTCCATTTTTATTTACGTAACAAGTTCGAAAAAACCGTCTAATTGTCGAAAAACTCGGTCGAACTTGTTAGATTACATAGTTGATCGACTTGACAATAAGTCGCTTAATGTGTATTAATGTACTCTCATCGATTTTTACAGAGTGTAAAATCGTTGAAAGACAAGTCATCAATTTTTTCTCGTAAATTTTGAGGCAAAAGCTCAGTATACATTTCGTAAATTTCCTACTTTATAGATGTAAACCGCTCCCGAAAGCCTTTGGAATTTTCTTTTCGAGTACGCTACTTAACAATTACGACCTAAATCATTTAAGTTTTTTAGTCTTTACATTGATAAATTTTGTTATAAATTGTAAACACCTCATAGCCGATAATTTTTCACTGAGAATACTTCATTGAAATCAGTTTGGATATTACAATGATATGTTCTCAGTTAATATGATTTTTCAATTTGTTAAACTTGTTAATTAGTTTTTTTTCGAACAAGAATCATTAAAATTTTTAATTCTTCAAAACCATTATATTCAATTTAGTTAGGAATCAATACACGAGTCGAAATTTTAACGACTCAAAAAACAATTGCCGAAACGCGACAGCATACAATTAGAGATATATCTCTTTAAACTCCGTTCAGATCAGATTTGCTTTGGTCAATAACCATACGATACGTACAAAGGTCTTTCAAGTTGGTTTACTAATGTTCTCCTCTATTTCTCACCTATAAGTAAAAGCGTGCTAAGCTTATGCCTCTGAGGTAAGCATATTTAATGATAAATAATTATAAACAACAGTCGAGATTAATCAGAACCTAAAATTTAAAAAATACAATAAAGAAACAATATCGCTGGATTACGGATTTTTGCTCTCACATAAGTAAGAGTTTGTATAATTAGGCAGTGTGAACTTTACCATTTTTCTTTTTGCCTCGTTGTCTTAACATGTGGTATTTTTTTTACATATCTACGATCCCTTGGCGGAATTGAACATTATTTTATACATAAAATATTACCAGGACGTGATCAATTATGGCTGTTGAAACAACAAGAAAAAGTACTTGTAAAAATTAGGTTGCGACTTTCTAAAGCTTGAAGAACACTCGAAAGAAAATTAAGAACAAAATAAAAGAGCAGATTTTACATATAAGTTAGCGTAGGAAAAGGGTAGCATGCTTTTACAAAAGTATTTCACGACTTTTGAAGATTATCACGACAGGATCCCATTACGAACAATTGAATATACACAATAATTCATGCTACTATGAAAGTTTTCTCAATTCAATTACAGTCGTAATAAACTATCCAAGAAATTTTCATTTATAGAAACTGTATATAAAGTAAAATCTTATTTTTCTCATAAAGGTGCATTAATTGTCAGATTAAGTAAATGCACAAATACAGTTCGAAACTCACGAAAAGTATGATTTCAGCTTCTTTACAAAAGGGTAACCATTGGTTATATTTTACGCGTGATTACATAAGACTTTTGTACAAGTATACGAATATAAATATTTTTGATCCTGTAGATTCATTCTTTCATTAAAAACTTGAAAAAGATATTGGATCGACTTGAGTTTAAAACAACCTACATTCGCATTATTACCAAAAACTACTTCTACACTTGTATCGAAAAATAATCTCCAATGATTTCAATTCGATTTTCATTTGTATCTATTAAGTTTTACATCCGTTAACTTTCAGAGGAACGACCAGTTTTATTGATTTTTTTCTATCGTTTGACTTTCATTTTATGAAAATTCGCTGAATTACATCACATTAAAGTTAGTGGCATACTTGATCGGTTTTCATACTGAAAAAGCAATTGAACAATATAGCTAAATATCCGCAACAAACAACGAGATCTTCGGAAAATGCTTTTGAACAAATTTAGAATGTTTTCCAATTGGTGGACGGTTTTCTTGTTAACCAGTTGTCAATACAATACGTGAATAATATAAAATTTCTTGCGGTAAGTACTTTATAAAAAACAAAAAAATTTAAGCTAGACAAAAATAGAATAAAGATAGGTCGACCAGCGACAAAATACTTTGACAAACTCAATCATGCAATGTAAATTTGTTCTGAAGGATTCCCAAAGTCTCATTAAAACAGATCTTGTTTTATCGTTATCATGTAACGTTAAGAACAAAAGTAAACTGTGCAAAAAGTTCAAATATTTTGCCATTCATTATGCAAGAAAAAAAAAGCATCGAACAATTGAAAAATTCACGAAAACAAATAGTAAACACTCGAATCACCCAACCCAGCTTATAATACTAAAGATCTGTCTCGAGGAAAAGTGAAATGAAGAAACGAACGTTCAATTACGCCATGGGACTATCCCATTCGATAAGATACTGCGGACATCCGTTTGGACCAAGTCTTTTGCCCTTGATTGTAAAGTTCTCGCCAGAAGCAATCCTATTGGCAGCGCCAAAGTACACGTTGACAGAGGACTTCAGGTCATCTATGGAGATGTCCGGTGCATTTTGCTTGACAGGCGAACACTTTGTCGGTGAGTTTGGCATACTACCGCTGCAATTGCCACACGGCTGTGACTTTTTGACGGTTGCTGATACTGCTGGCAGTGTTGCTGACGACGAGTTGCTCGACTCATTTTGCGGTGGTAGCAACTTATCGGTACTAGGACCACGTTGACGTAGACGACGACCATTCAATGCGTAGTCAACGCAGTTGCTGATTTGATCGCTCGATGGAGTGCTAAAAGAGCTTCGCAGGTTACGATTGAACTCAGTGTTTTTCACTTCGCTATTGCGTGCTGGAATGATCGCTGCTGTCTTGCTCGCTGTTTGCTGATAGCTCTGCTGTTGAGAAATCCATAAAAAATATGCTTTGATTAAATATTTAGTATTATTAATTAGTTTGAAAAAAATGTGTGTGCTAGTAGGTTTAAAGACTACGACATTACGTGAAATAAATTTCTTATTCAGGATTTCGATTAAAGAAACGTACCGAAGACTGTTGCTGAGGCGGCCTGCCGCGTCTATGTGTCCTCCTCCTCTTGACCTGGCCATTCCTATCGATAATAATGTCTTTCTCCGACAGTTGCCTCTTCGCAGGCCGAACGATCGGTGGCTGTGAGATAACGGGTGTCAGTGGCAATGGCAGTGTAATCGGAGATGGATTGAAAGTTGACTGTGCGCTACTGCAGCTTGAACCATTACTGCACGACGACGATGGTGTGACGACACCTAAAAGTTCACTAAGATTCCTGAACGGATTGTTCTTGCCTTCAAAGTCTTTCGGCGGCGGTATAAACGAGTCTAACGTGCCACGAGAACTCGTCTCGTCGCCCGACGTGTCGGCCGGCGTGGATGGCGTTGCCAGTTGAAGTTCGAGCGAACTAGGTACCGAGACTTCGGATATTCCCGAGGATGTGGTTGCTGGTGGCGTTGGCGGACCCGAGACTGATGTCGGTGGCGTTGGTGGCAAATCGCTCGGTTCTGCATTCCGGGATTTGCTCTGTGAAGATTTCAATAATAATTATTTTACTTATTATTAACAATGTTTTGTTTTTTGATGAGAACCTTGTATAAAAGTTTGAGCAAAAGTTTCTTGAACACATTTACTCGCGTCATGAACGAATCGCGCTTGTCAATAAACACGTGTACGCGAGCTGTACTGGTTTTCAGGGTTATAATTTTCTCTCTCTTTTTCTCTCGCTGATAGCGCAGCTGTATTTTGTTTTTACTATCTGTTGCGCTCTGTCCTCGTATGATTCGTCCTTGATCTGTTTGTTTTAGATTATTTGGTCGGTAAAAATGTAGACGTTTCAGTCGGGGACTTAATGTTTATCGGAATGTTTGTACATCGGCAGCTTTTTAAATATTAACATCAAACAACGCACTTTCGTAGGATTAGAGAGATTATTTTACAAATCGCGTTTTAAATTTGGCTTTTAATAAAAGAAATTTTTTAATATATCGGTTACTGAGAAAAACTAATGGGCCTTAGTAGAAGATTTGTATTTAACAAATGCCTAGCTTTGAAAACTTTTTTCTCAGTGCAAAAAAAGACAAAATGTACCTTAGCAATAGCGTTCTTGACGAGTTTCCTAGCCTTGCGTATCCTCGCCTCCCGCATATCCTGCAGTTTGGTCGAGCCTTGCTCATCACTCTCCATATCACGTTTTTTGTGTTTGCGTAGTATTCGTTCGCGCGAACTACCCAACGCCATGAGTCGACGTCGCCTTTGCAGGCTGAGCTTTGGAAATGGCACGGATTTCTTCACAAAGCCACCGCCACTATATCTGCGGGTCAGTTTTTCGTTATCGCTAGATCAAAAGCGAAACGGAAAGAAAAAAGTTAATAACCAAAAGAAACTAAAAAAGAAAAAATACTTCGAAACTATAAAAGAAAATTTATATAAAGAACATTTAGATGGTTTGGAATCAGTGAAGAAAGGTGTACGATAAAGTTCAAAGAAGAATATTTTTTGCATAGCAATACATATACAAATTGAGTGACGGATTTATTTGATTATGTCAAAAATAGCATGTTTGTCAAATATTAATTTAAAGAGATAAAACGTATTTGTAGAATTAAAGAAACGATTTTTTTATAGATCAAGTAAGAACGTGTAGGTTTGTAATATCTTGCAATGTTTAATATTGGTGGAGATAAATAACATTGACAAAGTTTTGAAAGACACTTAATATTGATCAACAACAAAAATTAGCAATTGTTTGAATTATTTTTTTGTGACGCTTGTAGTCGAAAATATGTATACTTTATTTGTGAGGTGTTTAATGAAAACTTCACAAAGAAAAGCAGAAGTAAAGATGAGGCGAAAAATATTTATTACGACTGATGATTAATGAACTGAGAATGAAAGCGTTAGTTTTTAGACAAATAATCAAAGCAAAATAAATCAAGCAATGTGAATTTTATTTATAAAAAGCGAGAATAAAGTCAACCACATTGTACGAAAGCAAAATAACAATTAGAACTAGTGAAAGTTAAAACTAACAATTCAGAAAAACACGTAAACAAATACAGAAAAGCATTTTAAAAAACTTAAAAAACAGAAAGCCAAACAAAAGAGAGTATTTTTTAACGCAATTCCAATGTTTTATAATGTTATAATTTACTTCACGCAAAAAGAACCATGGTAAAAAGCAGACGGAATATATATTGAAGCTCTATGTACCTTTCTCTTAAGGTTTGAGTGATTTGATTAGTCGGACTCGAACTAGAGCTTTGGTCAACCTCTGAATTTTGATAGATTGTACCCCGCATAACAACGTCTGATGGATTTACCGCGATCTCCACACTTTCAGCTAAGCTTTGCTTCAATGTGTGTAATTGCTTTGTACTTTCTGGCAAAGCTACAGGCCTAGAATATTATTTAAAATTGAAAGCAACATTGACAACGAGCTCACATTTAATGCTTGTTTATATGAGTTTGTCAACGTACTCAGTAGTGGGAGAAAGGAATTGCAGTCTTTTGCTGGCGCCCCAACATCGTCGCAAAACCGAGTCATCGATGACTCCGGTTGAAGGAAGATTGACAACTGGGCATGGTGGCGGCAATCTCACCCTCAATCCCCAAATTGTCGTGCGCTTTTTTATTTCTCTACCGCACTTAAACCTATTTCTATTATTTGTAAGTATCGCGAGTATGGATTCCTTACGGACTTGAGCAGTCACATCGCGGATCTAAAAAAAATACAGAAAATCACGTTAGCCCAATTTAGACTATGGAACATTGAGTTATATAAATTAAGGAAAAACTTACTCTTGGAGGTAACTGCAATGTGTTCCAGTTGTCATTTGCGTAAGGAACAATCACAGTATCCAAGTCATAGTACTTTTTCGCGTTGTACACTGTTAGATTGTACAACATTAAATGTACAAGATCAACCCACTTTAATTCTAACCGCCGTACAAATTCCTTGCCGTAATTGCACATTGAACAAACAAATACATAAAATCTGAAAAAATATGATTTTGTTTATAAATAACTGAAAATTAGAAAAACAACTAATTTTGGTTGAATCCCTGTATACCTGTCACCACTATACAGAGGGTAAGTCAAACAGCCAATACATTTCTCATGAAACCATTGTTTACAACGAGCACACTGCAACATCTGGGTATACCATTCACCATTTAAACCACAATAACAGTAGATTTGCTCAGCATTTACTCTGTGATGTGCATCCCAGTTCAGCATTTCAGGCTACAAAAATTGAAGTTGATTATTTGTTGTAAAATTTATTTATCCTGAATGAATAAGTACATGGCTTAAAATAAAAACTTACATCATACGGTAACTTTGTTTTATCATCTGGGGGAGGAAGAGGTTGATCCCTTCCACTGCACAGTTTCCTAATGTTTGGTTTGACCATAGATTTTTTAATTTCTTTAGTACCCTTAGGCTGCTGAGAGTCACAACATTTTCTACATTGCCAATGTGCATCGGGAAGTGTTTCTTCTTTTTTGATTTGAGGCTGTTCATTAAAATATTATTCATAATTTCAAGCATTGAAAATTTAAGCATTGGTAAATAAGAATATAATCTTGTTCTTACCAGATGGCAAAACTGGTGATACCCCCGGCCACATTTATCACATGTAACAATGTCATTTTCTGTTTTAGGTTGAGACTTTTTACATAGGACACATGTGACATCTGATTCTGATGCTAATTTTGTCAGCTCTTTAATTGATGACCAAGAGGATGTGTTATCCAAAAATTTAACACGACATCTCTCTCCTGCCATGTCCACCTATTGAAATGGTACATATTTGATATATTTGAAAAAATTACAGCAATGAAAAGCAGATGTTCAAGACAGTCTTCAAGTGAGGTTAGCATTGTTGGAGTTTATATTCAAATGCTTTACTAATTTATAAAGAGATTTATTAAAACGACATGTTGATTTGAACATACAGGATCAAGTAATAATATATTATATATATTTGCTCCAATTAAGTTAGTGAATGTTTAGTAAACTTATAGTAAGGAGTGTGATTCTGTCATAAAAATTATGATAAAAAGTAATGTTTTTACCTCCACAATTGTTCCAAGATAGTATTTTCCATCTTTGTGCTGAAGGAGAACATCTTCACCGTGGACAAATCCAAGGCGCTCCTTTGTTGTACTATCTGGCGATGCTGAACTATCTTCAGATTCTGCCATTTTTTACTTTATCTAATGGATAGCATAGAAAAAAAATTTCTTAAAAATTTCTTTTGATAATCAAAAATCCACATTACTGAATCCTTGCTTTTAATTGGTATAACAGTCAATTATTCATGTCAACACTATAAGTAATTTTTAATTTAAGTACCTGCTTGTAATGAAACATTGACACATTCGAATATTTTACGATAAAGTAAAATAAATCTTAATAATATTCTATGGTAATAAGATATGAAAGTCATGTGGTCTATAAAATATGCATAAAACTAATAAAATATAGAACAAAATATCCACTTTGTATTACAATATATTAGTGATTATATTATATAAATTGTTATTATATCTTCTAATTCTCATTCATAATTGACTGATCATTTCAAAAGCCTGGTTCTATGTTAAATTCATCTATGAGAAAAAAAACGTTATCAAAAATATTATGAAAAATTCAAGAGACAAGAATGTTGCTGACCATGTTTTGTCTAAGCTCAAGAATCATTGAGTAGGTAACCTTAATTAAACTATGAATTGAAAATTGTTTGGAAAAACTGGTGAGCCCTTGAAACCACAATTAAATAACCACTATATCATAAAATAAGGTGAAAAGGAGAAAATTTGTTTACTAAACAATCAAACCCAAAAAAATCACTCACCCGAACCTCAACACACCGTGTTTACATTTCGCCACAACGCTCATCTGCAACTTTCTCTCCGGAGGAAATTCCTCAAGAACCTCGGCAACAGCAAATACCTTAATAAAACCACACCAGCTCTCTTTCTCTCTCCACACACCCTGGACCTTCGCACTCACATATACACACACAATACACAACACATGCAACATACAGTCATACACACATAGGTAGATTCGGAAAAATCGTTAGAGTCGCAATCAGCTGTAAAGGAAAAAAACATACCTCAAATCACGAGCAAGTAGTTCTATACCCTAGGTATCCTCGTTCTCATGATCCTCGTGAAGGCGTCCTTAGTTCTGTTGGCCGGGTCGTCGCCGCCACCGCTGCCGCCATCTTCCACGGGGAGAGACACACGCACAGCTAGCTATATCTCTCTCTCTCTCTCTCTCTTCGCCAGTAGACTTTAGGCCGATTCCGCAATGTAACCGCCGCCTCGACGCAAAGATGGCGAGTGTGTTGCTTCTCTCACTGTCTCTCTCTCTCTCTCTCTCTCTCTCTCTCTCTCTCTCTCTCTCTCTGGCTTTTTTACCCCCACCAGCAGGCATCTATATACCCTCGCGCTATATCTCGCTCTCGACGCGAGTCCTTTTATTTTGAGAACGCCGCATTTTTGCGATAACCGATCAGCTGGTCCCGACCAGCGCGTGTTTTGTCCGATGACTATTATTGTGGGAGGCTCTTTTTCGACGAGGGTGCGCCGAGCTCGGGTTTCCTGTTCGAGCGATTTTTCAGGTGCCGGGAGCGAGCTCCGTGTACGCGATCGCCTCCCATATATCACGCATACGTATTTTTTTTACGAAACAACGCTTTTGGTTTTTCGGGATAACGAGCGCGGTCGGTGCCTGGAGTGCAGGACGCTTCGCGTTTTGTTCCAAACGCCACGATAATCATGACTTTTACGATCAATCATCCCGTGCATTCCAGATCTAACATTCGCGCGCTTAATAACGAGGAGCGTGACGTCAGGATGCTTTAATTGTTCAATGAACTAATGACGCTTGGCTGCTCGTGCGCTTTCAGGCTGCTGCCGCGTACATGCGAAATAAGATGAAGAGCGTTAGATTGAACCGAGCGGTTCGTTACGCGCGTACAGGCGCGTCCAGCCACATGTGGCAGCTGTATTTTACCGATGAATTCCGCGTGCAAGCTGTCCATTTTGACCTGCCCGCGAATGCTTTGCGGAAGTGCAGAATGCGGTCTATAGGTGCACGTACGTATAAACTCGCACAAGAGTCTCGTCAACCTTCTTTATGATGTTTCGGTGCAAGGTGGCACGCCCGTTCGAAACGTGCGCCTGACGAATAATCAACATTTCCAAAATTAAAATCTTGATAGTTCTTCAGAATCTGGTTAGCGAGGCTGTTTATTCCGATGCATATTGTGAAAAATTCCCATACATTTAGTTTTCACCTTTTTCATCACAGTTGTTCGTTCGTAGCGGGTAAAACAATCAAAGCTCGATTCGAAAATTCGTGAAAATCTTGGCACAATTGTTTGTCAATGCAAACGGCGATAAGTTATAAATAATACAGCTTTACATACAATTTTCTTCTTTTTTGCCTTAATTATACTTAATTCAGCTTTTGAGGGCAAGTTTGATAAAAAGTTATGAGCGACCGAAAGTCAATTTTCAATTAGTTATAATACTGAAAGTTATTCCAATTGATAGTTTACCGTTAAATTACACTGAATATGAGAGGAATTCAATTAAAAATCTTTAAACGGTCTGCATTAATCAGTAGTGACCTAAGGTATACAATGACTCCGAGTTTGCGAGATATCCTATGAAATATCGTTAAGTTTTTGGTATTTTTCATGATACTTCTGATTGAGCATAGCTCCGAGCATCTTTCGATGTTATGCGTAGATAATAATATGGACGGTACAAGTTCATTTGTATACATGCATATAATACAACTGAAATGCAATCATGTAGATGAAAGTGGCCGCGTGGCAAGGATGTGAAAACTGTCATTCGAGCAATTCTGCCGAAGCGCGAAAACTGCGAGCTGCGACAGGAAAGAAAATCAAGTTCGAGGTAAGACTCGCAAGGTATATGTAACTGTTCTCTCTAACCGACTGTAATCCTGCAATTTCATTATTACCTCATACCGTCAATTTTTCCGCGTAAGCAAGCGACGCGAAATACAATCTTCACAAATTACAGAAGAAAAACGAAATGAAAAATAAAGTAAGATGAAAAATCGCGCGAGCCAGGAGGAAGAAAAAAAGCTCCGGACAAAAGCGGCCGTCACATAAGAACGCGCAAGCGACTTTGCATTCTGCCTGCGCGCGCGCTCTCTCAGCGTAAAAATGGTTAATCGGCATGAGGCTGGCAACGTACACGCACGCACACACGTACGCGCGTCGTAAGCCGGCAACGTTTCAGCGGCAGCCTAACGTCACACGTACGCTCTTGGCCGCGAGAGAGCTCTCCTCGGCTACTCGGCTCGCTGCGATGGGTTTCTCCTTCAGCCGCCCGCCGCCGGCCACGGCCAGGCCAGTTCGGCCCGCTTGGGAACTTCACCGTGGCGACCTCTGACAGCCGGACGCACGGCGCCACTCGCGCGTCAGCGCACGCCTTTTCTCGCCGACGTTATTGTTGTATCGCGCCGGCCCGAATTTTCATCTCGCGTCCGCGGCCACGCGCCCGTCCACGCTCGGCGGGAGCGCGAGCCGTCCTCGCTATCGCGGCCCTCCGAAACGACCATCCGTTGCCCGCGCGTCTCTCTCTCTCTCTCTCTCTCTCTCTCTCTCTCTCTCTCTCTCTCTCTCTCTCTCTAGCTCGCGCCCGTTTACGTCTATCCATTCGCACGCTCGAGATCTCTCCGATCTCTTTCTCTCCTTCGAAAAACCCGAAAGGGAGGAAATTTCTTCTTCTTTTTCTTGTACTTTCAAGCGCTCGATAAGCATCTTTCGTTGTGACTTCTGCACACATAGACAGAGGGAAAGCACGCACTACTTCCGAAATTAAGCTTGCTACGATTTATGGCTTTATTTCCTCGTGGATACATCGGACGCCTCGCGCGCGACCATAGCTGCATTGTTTCGACGCGCGGTGTGACGATGCGCTTTTTCGGCGATCGTCGAGAACACACTTGGCCTGGTACAGCTAATTTCCGAGGCCTCTTCGATTTTGCATCATTTTTCATCTTTCGAAGGGCACTTTGACGGACATCGTGGCGAGAAATAAAGCAGACTTCTTTTTTCATATTCGAGGTGTATTTCTTTCATAGTTGTAGATACATTTTTACAAAGTATGAGCGAGACAACAATGTCAATGAGAGAATCGATTATTCGATAGGTAGAAAGGTTGTACAAAATGTGCGAATCGAAAGATACGCAAATTTGTCATAGGAAATAAGAAAATGCACGATTTACTTTCAATGTTGTACATTCGTCTCGAATCATCAAATCAATAGTAATTTAATGGACTATCATGGATTGTCATTCAAGGATACAAAAATTATTCTTAAGGAATCTGTGTATTACTCTATTTTAAATATTACCATCAAGAATTGTGTCTTTTATTATGCACAGATGTTGTACTGTCGTATTTGTATATGTAGATATTTCAGAACGGAAAGTACTTTCTTAAAAAAAATATATTTTAACAAGTTCTAATTATACAGAAAAACTTGAAAATGATTCCAAACAATTAACAATAACAATTTTATCGTATATTAAATAGAACTGACAAACTATCTATTTATATTATTATGAATGTGCGAAGTATTATCAAAATTTGTAGTTGACTTATTATTAAACGAAAATATATGATTGTTTGTAACATTATACAAATTAAATTGTGGCGATATATATCACGAAAAACTGCGACACATATCATTTAAGGTAAAGTTATTTTTTAAAATAAATTAATTCATCAAGAAAACAGATTCAAATGGCAATCACAAGTTTACATATAGATAAATAAGTAACCTCATCATTTGCATATTACATCTAAAACATCTTCTTCTTAACAGCCGTGTATCGTTCCATGTACTTGTCGTAACCCTCGGCATCTGGAAAGCGTTTCATCTCGAATAGATTGCCCTCTACCGCTAGCATGGAAATATTGGAGTCCTCGAGAATTCGACGACCAATAGCTTCCAACTGCAAGCAATTCTCCTCGAGTCGCAATGTCTTCAGTCGTGGACAGTCAGCCAGCTGGTCCGATAAAATGGTGATCTGATTTTGGTTGAGGTTCAGCTCGATGACGTGAAGTTCACGGGCACCGTCCGGCACTGCGGTCAAACGGTTGTGTGACAAATCGAGCACGTCCAGATGCTTTAGCCCGCAAAACATCTGTGGGAATTCGGTTATACGGTTGTCCGACAGATTCACCTATGAGCATTGCAATAGCAAAGGATTGAGGAGCAAATCAAGTGGATTTTTCTTTAAAAAAGTATCAAGATACTGCGTGGCAATTCGAGAGATTCTAAGCTGCTTTCGCTTCGAATATTTGAAGCAATTATGGTAATAAATAATTTTTTCCACGAATTACCAAATAAATAGATAATGTATCTATTTACATATATCGACTCAAAAATGTTTTCTTCTACTCTATTTCATAAATGACATTGCCTCGACATTTTTCTACATACCAAAATTATATCGAAAGATTGTTTAAAAAAATATCCAACCTGTTTGAGATGTGTAAGTTTGGACAGCGACATCGGCAACGTACAGATCTGGTTAGCGCTAGCATTAAGCGATTCTAGTTTCAATAGTGCACCAATAACGTCTGGCAACTCGGTCAATCTATTAGCACTTACATTGAGTTGTTTGAGTAGCGTGAACCTTTCTATCTCAAGAGGTAGTCTCGAGAATTTATTGTCCGACAAGTTGAGGGTTCGTAAAAAAGCTACGAGGCTGCCAAGTTGCTGTGGGAACTCGTTGAGATTTCTATGGGATAAATTTAATGTTCCAGTCTTCTTCGCCACTTCGTAATGCTGCTTCAATCCGGAATTACCCATTTTTTATATTTTATATTCTTAGCTTAAAGAAGTTCCGTGGCTTCTTGTTTTTTATTTTTTGCTTTTGCTTCGGAAATATATGACGTTTCATCTACGTACGTCAACTACGATTCATTATTAATGTTGAATTTCTTTTTACCTCGATGTTAAAAAACAGACGGTTCTGTTTGTTACTAGTCAGCTGATATTAATAGACTGCTTTCCATTTTGACTTTGCCGCTAGGAGTATTTACAAAAAGATCAGCTGCACCAACGTAACAGACACGAAATTTTCGCTCTGATGTTGTTATAACCTCTAACTCGCAAAATTCTAAATTTGACTGTACTCAAACCACCAATCAAGCCTAGGGTAATGTTTCCATCGTTGCTTTGGTTAACACAATATTTTGTCATACAACACTTTCATTGAACACTCGTATCACAGAATGATAGCTTTATTTAGGTCTGTTTACTGTTTAAAGATACATAAAATAAAATTGAGAAGCAGAAATGTCAAGCTGTCGACAGTAGCTGCGTCGGCCATTAAATATTGTCAACAATGTTTCGAGATTTAGCTAGCCACTTGTTTCGGCGCTAAATTCAATTGTATGTACTATTTACGTTTTATTAGTGGCTATTTTGCTACTCCTCGAAACTCACGAAGTCATTACAATTTGCCGATAAACGACTGCGTCAAATAATATTTAGAAACATTATTGCGTTAATTATTTGACAAGATATTTTTTTGATTATTTTAATCATAGTAATTAAAATAGACATTTTAAGTTGAATAAATAAATAGTATTCGACAAGATCGTTCCTCAAAAATTAAGTAGTTAATAAACAATACATAATAATAAAAATCACATAAAAAAGTAAACTTGAAAACAAATCGAAAGAGAAGATTATTCGGCGTATCTATATAAATACTGTGTATTTGAGAACAATTACTTCTTCCTTTTATTGCGCTACTGAGATCAACTCAACGAATAAATCTAAAGTCAAAGCACGTAGATAAAACAAACTATCCCCCTTCACTCTTTTTTACCAATCGTACTACAAATCGTACAACTTGAGACTTTCATCTACACAATCGTAAGATGTCGCTAGGATCGTTGTAGCAGTCGCGCGCGCGCGCGCGCGCTCGTGTGCTCTGTATATTTCAGTGCACACAAATAGGTATCGGGCTACTTGCTTGCACACACAGTCGCAGGAGGCGCAGGCACGTAACGCGCCCCCCTGTCTCTCTCTCTCTCACACACTGTGCAGCTTACGCGCGTGTGCTGCTGCTGTCTGGCTACGATGCAGCAGCAGCTCGTAGTTGCAATAATCAGTCGTCGCGACCGGTGGTGTTGGTAAGTCTGTTGATTTTCGAAGCCTCCCTCTCTTCCTCCTCGTTTTTCGAGTCCCGAAAGTGTGTTGCCGAGATGATGATGATTAGCTTGAGGGAACCCTGATCCATCAGAGTTCAGAAACAACAAACACACGCACCATGGCCACGACGCCCAAGCCGGACAAATACTCGGGTGAGTAAAGTACACCCTTCGTGCTTTCGTGCGTGTGTATGTGCGTGTGTGGTTATGTGTGTTATATGACGTCGCTTTGTTTACGCGATAGAGGCAGAGAAACGAACGTTATCTTTCGCGAGCGGAACATCTTGTGTGTATCCCCCCTCCATTGCTCCTTCAGTTCAGTTCAACTCAGCTCTCCCTTGGTGATCGTCGTCTTTTTTGTATGATAGACAGTAGGAAAAAGGACATGAAGACTCGAGGGAGGGTGGAGTTCTGTGCTGCCTGTGCGTGTTCGCCGGGATTTTCCGGCTTGCCGCTCGACTTTGGGGGTTGCTTTAGCAGTATAGTGCGTGCACTTTTTGATATATAACCTATGTGCTATGCTTTTTTTCAGCGTATGTATTATTATATGGTGCTTCTTATAATTAATATTTCGATGAATTGGCGGTAGCATTAGTTTGAATTTCGTTTTAATTATAAATATCTAAAAGGGTTCTTTATGAAGAATTTTATTTGAAACATTATGATCGATGTTTGTTTTCATTTTAGTGTATTAACCTTCATTAACCGTTACCTTCTGAGAAGCACTTTTCGTTAGTTAGAATGTAGATGTACGATCTAACATGTGTGAGAAATTAGGTCGTTATTAGAGTTATAGTTTGAAAAACTACTTACTTTGATACACATATATTTTAAATTGACGTTTGTATTTTTTTCAAATGAAAGATAAGTTGTATGTTTACAGCTTCGTTAACCTACTTTTTATATTGATAACGTTTTAATAATAGGTTTTCACTATATCAATAATAATAATACTTTTAATAATAGGTGTTATATATATAAATTGTAACTTTGTTTGTCATGAGAAACTACATAAACGCGTTAAATGAGCGACTATCGATCAAAACATTCATTTCACACTGCACTGTAGGATTTCATAGATTTTTATTGTATTAGTCTTTGGTGTGTCGAGTAAACGCCTCGTAAAATATTTTTTTTAATTCCTTCGCAAATCAAAGAGAATTAAAAAAAATTGTCATGACAATATTCAGTTGTCAAGTATTCAGTTCCAAATACTTGACATGCCTATAAAAGTACAAAGCTGATTTTCAGCAATTAGTTGCGTGTATATATAGATCAACTTCTCCCCCTCCTGAAAGTGTACACGCGACTCTCGCGGCGGAGGAGCAGCGCGTCTTTGGCCATTTCTGGAAATCGATTGTATGTCCGAAGAAGAGAGAGGAGGATAGGTATATAGGTTGAGCGGGGTAGACAAACGCTTGTCTGGAAGGAAATTCCTTTTGGCGAATTTCGAATAGGTCGTTCGTCATCCGACAAGACATGGTCCTGAATGACAAAGTAGGGTCGACGTTTTTCTTCTCTTCGTTTCTTGGAATTTCTTGAAGACATGTATATATAATTGTGATTTGAACGTCTTTTTTGACGAATAATGCAAAGCTCATCATGTTTACCTCGACGCAGAGATGAAATAACACCGAACTCCACGTAAATTTGTCTCTTGAGATAATGTTTCCCACTCTCTGTGAGTCATAAAGACGACTGACAATGTAGGTGTGTACACTCAGTGAGAGAGACCCACTTCCAGCGAAGGGGAACAGAGAGAAACAAAATTTCGCTTCTTCGGGGACGTCTATAAATCAAAATGCCGTGTGCTCTTATGAGCGAACCAGGACAGCACTTAATGAGTTTCAGGAAAGTCGCGTGATTGATTTCGCTGCTGTTTTCGGCATATATACCAGCGCAACAAACGTTCTATAGCGTAACAGAGATAAATATCTGTGCGAGTTCTTTGCACTCCTGTTGAAGGTTTTCTGTTCTTAAATTTGCTGCTGAGAAGAAAAGGTTGTTTGGCAATTCGGCTGACGTTGGCGAATTACGCGAAAAACTCAAAAACCATTCATTTCTTTTTAGAGTAGCACTTTACTTAGTAATCCAAATATCAAAGCTCTGTGTAATGCAGCGTATAATTTTTCTGCAATTATGAGTTAACAAAAATAAATGAGGTCACTTCAGAAAATTTTGGTTTTTGATGTATACTGGAAACTGCGATTGATGCTCTCTCCAAGTGTCATATAAATATAATGATCATAATTTTTTTTACAACGTTTGCTTCTCTCCAACGAGTTGAACGAAGTGTTTACATGTTTAAATGTTTATATATATTTAATAAAAGAATAATTCATTTTATTACATTGCGCAGAATGGTCGATTTACGTGAAAACCCGTCATCAACAAAATGAATGACGTTTAACTAAAATGACCTACGCGCAGGATTCTATTCTTTTTTAACTTTTCATGCGCCTTCGACTTTTCGTATTTACAATTATTCACATTGAATGTCAAAGGTAACATACCTATAAAAAAGTATTTCACGCTGGATAATATTTATTCAAAAGTACCTCTCCGACAGTGCGCGAAGTTCGAAAAAAACGCATGCTTGTTAAGGAAAAGTGTAACAGAACTTTTTTATTAATTAACGTTTGACTAATAATATATTTTGTTTTCGAAAAGTCAAAAAAAAAAATGACATGTAAAGTTCAAGCCCCTACGTTGTTGTTGATTCCAACGCCCACGCGTTCGTTGCTACCGGTGTAATAATAACAGGCGGTATTTTTTTTTCTTGTTCTCTCGGCACGTGTTTGTCTGTGTGAGCGTGCCTCCGAGCTCAACAATGCCTTTCCGTGTACTTTGTGTGTTATTGCTCGAGAAAGGTAGGATGAATGACACGAGCGAGAGTTTATCTTGCGAGGGATTTCGATGAAATGTATATATCATTCGTGCAAATTTCTTCTCTCTTTGTTTTCGATACCGGGAATGATAGCGCGATAAATGAAAGGTTAATCAATGCGACTTCATTTCTTTCGGAAAACTATTATTTACGAAACAACGCTGCGCTAAAAATCACGCGTGGGAAACGGAAATTTCGTCCCTCTTTTTAGCAGAAAAATCGAACGCTGCTATACAGCGTGTTACCACGGATGCAGAGCACATCGATTGTTTTTGCATCCGTCGTTAAAGCATTCGACAATATTGCTGCCTTTCTATTTTAACCCAGAATTAATTTGAAGCTAGAGCTAGGCAAGTTTCGCAATGTATATATACTTATGGCCGCTACTTCCTCTGATATCCCCATCGACACACTGACTTTGTTTCGTTTACGTGGTGCTGATTGCATCTTATGAATTGTTGATCTGTGCAATTTAACGATGCTGCTGTTACTGTGAGATTAGTGTTATCATTAATGTAGTCGCGGTGGATTTAATTATCTGCTGTAATTACTTTTGGAATTTGTATGATCGTTTGATTATGATTGGATGTATCGGATACGGTTAGCTGACGGATTTAGCGTATACGCAATTGGAATACGCTAATACGGTTGTTAACATCAGGTTAGAGGAAAGAAAATTTTTAGATATGATTGCAACATGCAATGAGATTTTTAATTTTTACATATTTGTTAACGCTACAGCATTTGCGATTCGTTTTTAATAAATTTTATTATGATTTCGTCAACTGGATTTTATAGCATTTGGCAATGTGCACACTGCACTTATTTTCTTTGCAGTTACGGCAATTCCTTGCTAATTTTTCAATTGCTTTTGATTTGTCTACGGAGTTGAGCTTAGCTGTCACACTCGCTTAAGCCGTCGTATTCATCATCTTTTCGAGACAGGGAATAGCTGACCTCAACGAAACCCGCATGCAATTAATCCGAGTTTGAACTTCTCGTTTTCTTTTTACATAATTTTCCACGATTAATCATGGCTTAGCACGCGCTTTCGACTTATGCTGACTCTCGCGAGTGAAGAAGGAATAAAGAAAGAAAACGCGGCGAATTAAAGCACGAGGAGAGAAAAAAAAACCCCACAGAAACCCATTTTCCAGCCACTCGTCTCATTCATTAATTTGCTAACCCACATCGCATGCCGTCAACTTTCTCTCTGGTGGCGTGAGCGAGTCAAAGAAAAAATGTTTTTTTCCCTCTCACGCTGCTGCAT